CTTACTACACACTCACCCCCACTACGCACTCACCTCTACTACACACTCACCCCCACTACACACTCACCCTCACTACGCACTCACCCCCACTACACACTCACCCCTACTACACACTCACCCCCACTACGCACTCACCCCCACTACACACTCACCCTCACTACGCACTCACCCCCACTACACACTCACCCCTACTACACACTCACCCCTACTACACACTCACCCCTACTACACACACCCCCACTACACACTCACCCCCACTACACACTCACCCCCACTACACACTCACCCCTACTACACACTCACCCCTACTACACACTCACCCTCACTACGCACTCACCCCCACTACACACTCACCCCTACTACACACTCACCCCCACTACACACTATCCCCCACTACACACTCACCCCTACTACGCACTCACCCCTACTACACACACCCCCACTACACACTCACCCCCACTACACACTCACCCCCACTACCCACTCACCCTACTACACACTCACCCCTACTACACACACCCCCACTACACACTCACCCCCACTACACACTCACCCCTAATACACACTCACCCCCACTACACACTCACTTCTACACACTCACCCCCACTACACACTCACCCCCACTACACACTCACCCTCACTACACACTCACCCCCACTACACACTCACCCCCACTACACACTCACTTTCACTACACACTCACCCCCACTACACACTCACCCCCACTACACACTCACCCCTACTACGCACTCACCCCTACTACACACTCACCCCTACTACACACTCACCCCCACTACACACTCACCCCTACTACACACACCCCCACTACACACTCACCCTCACTACACACTCACCCCTACTACACACTCACCCCTACTACACACTCACCCCTACTACACACTCACCCCCACTACACACTCACCCTCACTACACACTCACCCCCACTACACACTATCCCCCACTACACACTCACCCCTACTACGCACTCACCCCTACTACACACACCCCCACTACACACTCACCCCCACTACACACTCACCCCCACTACACACTCACCCTACTACACACTCACCCCTACTACACACTCACCCCTACTACACACTCACCCCCACTACACACTCACCCTACTACACACTCACCCCTACTACACACACCCCCACTACACACTCACCCCCACTACACACTCACCCTTACTAAACACTCACCCCTAATACACACTCACCCCCACTACACACTCACCACTACACACTCACCCCCACTACACACTCACCCCCACTACACACTCACCCTCACTACACACTCACCCCCACTACCCACTCACCCCCACTACACACTCACCCCCACTACACACTCACCCCTAATACACACTCACCCCCACTACACACTCACCCCCACTACACACTCACCCCTACTACACACTCACCCCCACTACACACTCACCCCCACTACACACTCACCCCCACTACACACTCACCCCTACTACACACTCACCCCTACTACACACTCACCCCTACTACACACTCACCCCTACTACACACTCACCCCTACTACACACTCACCCCTACTACACACTCACCCCCACTACACACTCACCCTCACTACACACTCACCCCCACTACACACTATCCCCCACTACACACTCACCCCTACTACACACTCACCCCTACTACGCACTCACCCCCACTACACACTCACCCCTACTACGCACTCACCCCTACTACACACACCCCCACTACACACTCACCCCCACTACACACTCACCCCCACTACACACTCACCCTACTACACACTCACCCCTACTACACACTCACCCCTACTACACACTCACCCCCACTACACACTCACCCCTACTACACACACCCCCACTACACACTCACCCTACTACACACTCACCCCTACTACACACACCCCCACTACACACTCACCCCCACTACACACTCACCCTTACTAAACACTCACCCCTAATACACACTCACCCCCACTACACACTCACCACTACACACTCACCCCCACTACACACTCACCCCCACTACACACTCACCCTCACTACACACTCACCCCCACTACGCACTCACCCCCACTACACACTCACCCCTACTACACACTCACCCCTAATACACACTCACCCCCACTACACACTCACCCCCACTACACACTCACCCCTACTACACACTCACCCCCACTACACACTCACCCCCACTACACACTCACCCCCACTACACACTCACCCCCACTACACACTCACCCCTACTACACACTCACCCCTACTACACACTCACCCCTAATACACACTCACCCCCACTACACACTCACCCCTACTACACACTCACCCCTAATACACACGCATTCCTACTACACACTCACCCCCACTACACACTCACCCCCACTACACACTCACCCCTACTACACACTCACCCCTACTACGCACTCACCCCCACTACACACTCACCCCCACTACACACTCACCCCTACTACACACTCACCCCTACTACACACTCACCCTCACTACGCACTCACCCCCACTACACACTCACCCCCACTACACACTCACCCCCACTACACACTCACCCCTACTACGCACTCACCCCTACTACACACTCACCCCTACTACACACTCACCCCCACTACACACTCACCCCCACTACACACTCACCCTCACTACACACTCACCCCCACTACACACTATCCCCCACTACACACTCACCCCTACTACACACTCACCCCTACTACACACTCACCCCCACTACACACACACCCCCACTACACACTCACCCCCACTACACACTCACCCCCACTACCCACTCACCCTACTACACACTCACCCCTACTACACCCTCACCCCTACTACGCACTCACCCCTACTCCGCACTCACCCTCACTACACACTCACCCCCACTACACACTCACCCCCACTACACACTCACCCCCACTACACACTCACCCTACTACACACTCACCCCCAACACACACTCACCCCCACTACACACTCACCCCCACTAGACTCTCACCCCTACTACGCACTCACCCTTAATACACACTCACCCCCACTACACACTCACCCCTAATACACACGCATTCCTACTACACACTCACCCTTACTACACAATATCCCCTACACAATCTTCCCTACACACTATCTTCTACACATTATCCCCTACTCTCTATCCCCTACACAATATCCCCTACGCACTACCCCCTACTCTCTACCCCCTACACACTATCCCCTAAACATTATCCACTACTCTCTACCCCCTACACACTATCCCCTACACACTATCCCCTACACACTGTCCCCTACTCTCTATCCCCTACACACTATCCCCTACACACTATCCCCTACTCTCTAACCCCTACACACTATCTCCTACACACTATCCCCTACACACTATCCCCTACTCTCTACCCCTACACACTGTCCCCTACACACTATCCCCTACACACTATCCCCTACACACTATCCCCTACTCTCTACCCCCTACACACTATCCCCTACACACTATCCCCTACACAGTCCCCTACTCTCTATCTCCTACACACTATCCCCTACACAATATCCCCTACTCACTACCCCCTACTCTCTACCCCCTACACACTATCCCCTACACATTATCCACTACTCTCTACCCCCTACACACTATCCCCTACACACTATCCCCTACACACTGCCCCCTACACACTATCCCCTACACACTATCCCCTACACACTATCTCCTACAAACTATCCCCTATACACTATCCCCTACACACTATCCCCTACAAACTATCCCCTACACACTATCCCCTACACACTATCCCCTACAAACTAACCCCTACACATCATCCCCTACACACCATCCCCTACAAACTATCCCCTACACACTGGTGCAACAAGGGCAGTCAACAATGACGTGCAGAACGTTACCGTCAATCACAACTCTGTGTGTGTGTGACCATACACGGAACAATATACATAATTGGTGGAATTACGGGCAACGACTCTTCACCATGTATGTGTTAGGAAGAAGGGCCGTAACCCGAAACGTCGCCTATCATATACTTTTCCTTCGAATGTGACACACGGTATTATTAAAGAATGTGTTGTATTTTTTATTAATCGTGAGCGATAAATCGCCAAACGATTCGTCCGGTCACTCACAACCCAACCTCACATTCACTCATTAACTCACTAGTTACTCATTCATTCACATCGTCACTATCTCATGAATGTATTCACTCGTCATGAACTCACCACTCGGTAATTCATTCACTCATTCACTCATTAAAGCATTACCCACGCATTCAGTCATTCAGCGATTGACTCGCCCGTTAAAAAATATATTTATTCGGTCATGTGCTCACATATTCCTCTGATTCACTCATATCATTCCCGTCAATCATTCACTCAACCATTCGCTCATCCGGTGATTGACCCAGCCACTCACCCCTCACTCATTCAAGTCACGCTTTGCACTCACCGTTCCCGTGACTCGCTCGCTCATTCACTCACCGTTCCCGTGACTCGCTCGCTCATTCACTCACCATTTCCTTGACTCGCTCGCTCATTCACTCACCGTTCCCGTGACTCGCTCGCTCATTCACTCACCGTTCCCGTGACTCGCTCGCTCATTCACTCACCGTTCCCGTGACTCGCTCACTCATTCACTCACCGTTTCCTTGACTCGCTCACTCATTCACTCACCGTTCCCGTGACTCGCTCGCTCATTCACTCACCGTTCCCGTGACTCGCTCACTCATTCACTCACCGTTCCCGTGACTCGCTCATTCACTCACCGTTCCCGTGACTCGCTCGCTCATTCACTCACCGTTCCCGTGACTCGCTCACTCATTCACTCACCGTTCCCGTGACTCGCTCAGTCACTCACCGTTCCCGTGACTCGCTCGCTCATTCACTCACCGTTCCCGTGACTCGCTCACTCATTCACTCACCGTTCCCGTGACTCGCTCGCTCATTCACTCACCGTTCCCGTGACTCGCTCGCTCATTCACTTACCGACTCTTACCGCTTCCCAGACCCAGGCCTCCGTGTGACCGCGACTCCCGGCGGAAAAAAAAACTCTTTACAGCCAGGAGCCCCGGGGGGGTGGGGGAGACAGGGGGGGAGACGGGGTGGGGGGCACAGGGGGGGAAACAAAGCCTCCCTTGTTGTTGTTACCGTGGCTGCTTTATCGACTGTCGGGCTTGACGTTGTTGGTGAGCGCACGTTGCGTTGGAAGGGAGGGGTTGGGTTAGGGGAGGGGGAAGGGGCATGGGGGGGTGTTGAGGGGGGGGGTGTTGAGGGGGGGGTGCCACCACCTTTGTCTCTCCAGATTGTGTACTTCACCCCGCGGACTGGGCAGTGAAAGTTAAACGGTAAAGGCGCAGCCCCTGCAATTGCTCGCTTCCGGCGGAAGGGACCTCGACTGGAGAAAGCCCCAGAGAGAGCCATGTGGCCGCCTGTTCCACGCTGGCCCAGACGACTGGGAAGAGGTGGGAGCTCCCCACACTCTGCCCCAGCAGACGCGACCTGCGCGCTGCGCTGCGAGCCCAGCCATCCGAGTTCCATTCCGGCTCACGGCCACCAACACCGGTGACGATTATCTGAACCGGTCCTGGGCGTCCCCTCGGTCCACTCAGCCTCAAACGAGTACCTGGTGCGATGTGCACACATCGCCACTCGGGAGACAAAGGCGGCTGGGCGCGGTGTTGACCACCCACACCCCATGATTGTGCTGTGCCTGCCTTCATAGGTGCTCGCTAACAGCACTTGCCCCGTCAGTCTGGCAAAAGCTACACGGGGGACCTTTGTCTTTGTGTGTCTATGGTGAAGGTTAAGAACCGTGGCTGAGGAGCAGATGTTGGGGCTCCTCTCTCCCTCCCTTCCCTCCGTCCCCTCCCTCCCCTCCGCTACCCCCTTGACTCCCGGCTTATCCCCTCTCCGAACCCCGCATTCTGGGCTCCTGGCACCCATCCCGCGCGCGGCGGCAGCTGATGCTACGAAGCGCGTCTCGATAGGCGCGGAATGTCAGCGACTCGCCGCTCATCCATTCACTCATTCAGTAGTTCTTTCAGCCACCGGCTCCTTTACAGTACTGGTGTATCCGTTCAGCGATTTATCCGCCCTTCAATCACTAGCTCACGCGCTCGCGCATTCGCTAGCTTAGCATTTATTCAATAAACCAGTTGCTCAACTCATTAATTCAGTAACTCACTACCGAATAATTAATTAGTTCAGTCACCAACTCGTTTGCTTGGCCACCAGCTCATTCACTCAGCCATTGACTCATTTGCTCAGCCGCTAAATCGTTAATTCAGTTATTAACTCATTCACTCCAGTCAACCCACACTTCGTAATTCCGTATTGGTTTATTATGATCATCTTGGCAATGTTGACGAACCTCTAGAGGCTGCGTGATCTGATTGCCATTGTAGTAGTGAGTGAGGCGTGGTGATATAATGAGCCGTGGTGAGACCGCGCTCTCAAAGTGCAGAGAGTTGATGGTCTCAGCCCGGTAATCAGTTACTCGCATAGAGACCCATAGACTCACATAGAGACCCATAGACTCCCATAGAGACCCATAGACTCACACAGAGACCCATAGACTCACATAGAGCTCCGTAGACTCACATAAAGACCCATAGACTCACACAGAGACCCATAGACTCATTAGAGACCCATAGACTCACATAGAGACCCATAGACTCACACAGAGACCCATAGACTCACATAGAGACCCATAGACTCACACAGAGACCCATAGACTCACATAGAGACCCGTAGACTCACATAAAGACCCAAAGACTTACACAGAGACCCATAGACTCATTAGAGCCCATAGATTAAGATATATCCATAGACTCGCATATGGTCCAATAGACCCATATAGAGACCCATAGACTTAACACAGAGACCCATAGACTCACATAGAGATCCATAGACTCACACAGAGACCCATAGACTCACATAGAGACCCATAGACTGAATATAGAGACCCATAGACTGAATATAGAGACCCATAGACTCACATAGAGACCCATAGACTGAATATAGAGACTCATAGACTCACATAGAAACCCATAGACTCAATATAGAGACCCATAGACTGAATATAGAGACCCATAGACTCACATAGAGACCCATAGACTGAATATAGAGACCCATAGACTCACATAGACCGAGTTATAATTAAACCGGGTTCTCAGGTGCGGCGAGTTAATTATCTCAGCACTGTGACCAATGACTTAAATAGAGACCCATATATTCCCACAGAGACCCATAGACTGACATAAAGACCCATAGATTCCCACAGAGACCCAATGGTATTCCTTGAGACCCGTAGAGTCCCTTAGACACCCCTGCATAGACTCGTGCAGACCGATTGAGCCGATGGTCTAGACCGGTCACCAACGAGTGCAGAACAAACTGCATCGTCCAAGGGTGGTCTGCCAACTCCCGTCGGCTCAGCACAACGCTTAGAAGTCGAACTTTCGAACTTGACTGACGTCAGGCGAATCGCTCTCTTGCGTGTCCTAGACATCAGTGAAAAATAACTCCATAGCTCATCGGATTCCTCCAGTTACTGGAGCACGCGGGCTATCATAATATGTATTTATACTGGAGTCCAGGATACTAGAGTCCAATGTAAATACATATTGTGATAGCCCGCCTTCTCCTCGTGTCGATGCATTGAACGCGCAACTCAGAAGTAGTGCTGTGAGATCAACTTCCGAGATGCCGTTTTCCGACAGCGGGTGGTGCACCGATCGCTTCTACAGCTTCCCCATGTGGAGATGTCTCAACTTGACGACACGTGTGTGCGTGCGACACGTGTGTGCGTGCGACACGTGTGTGCGTGCGACACGTGTGTGCGTGCGACACGTGTGTGCGTGCGACACGTGTGTGCGTGCGACACGTGTGTGCGTGCGACACGTGTGTGCGTGCGACACGTGTGTGCGTGCGACACGTGTGTGCGTGCGACACGTGTGTGCGTGCGACACGTGTGTGCGTGCGACACGTGTGTGCGTGCGACACGTGTGTGCGTGCGACACGTGTGTGCGTGCGACACGTGTGTGCGTGCGACACGTGTGTGCGTGCGACACGTGTGTGCGTGCGACACGTGTGTGCGTGCGACACGCGCGCACGTGCTAATCCACTGCTGGACGAGGGCCGAAATGGTCACGGAACGAATATGTGACCACCGTGGGTTTGTGAATGCGGGGAGCATAGACGTTAGACGGTTAGAGCATAGCACGATACAACAGTGGATACTTCAACTGACAACGTTGCCTCGCGTGGTGATGGTCACCCATCTAAGCGCTATCCAGGCTCAACCCCGCTCAGCTTCCGAGATATGTCGAGCGGCGGACGCATTCCGATTGATGCTTGGCTAGACCAGCACATCCGGAACGCCGTACGGTGCTTACAATTCAGGCGATACAGACGAAACATCTCAGACTCACTCGCTCGCTCGCCAGTCTAAGCGACTCACTGTTTATCCACGCAGACCACGGTTCTTCGCTACAAGTAGCAGATACTCCCCAAAGTCCCGCCACATCGTCGTTCAGGCTATGCGCGCCTCCTTTGTCTCCCCGCGAGCCTCTCTCGCGTGTCCGTCTCCTGTGCGACGTCAAAGCTCCCATGCGTAGCCGCGCCCTGTTCAGGGTGGTGTTAATTAGACGCCAATTAACTCAGTAGCTGCGTGAGAACGGGAAGCTCCGCTCCCACGCTGATTTAACCCAACTGGCCTGCAAATGAGCAGCAGATACCGACTCAAAGCATATGCAAAATCACAAACCCCGATCTGTCTTTCCGAAAAAACTGTACACATACATAAGTCCATCGGCCTATTGGCTTTCCACGTCTACATTATATCAGAGCAGCATTTGTTCAAACAAGCAACTCCGGGGGGTTTATTTGGAGCGCCCTTGCCAATAGCATCTGGTTAATCCAGCAGCATTTGTTTAACGAGCCTAACAATGCTGATTGCACCCAGAAGGGTCGAACCCGGTCCAGAGTTTGCTGTACTGATGACACCTAGATCACGGAGTTCAACAGCAGTTCGCTAACTACTGCGCCACCACTCCCCCGCAATAATGATATATATATATGTGTTTCTGTGTGTGTATATGTGTGTTTCTGTGTGTGTGTGTATGTGTGTGTTTCTGTGTTTCTGTGTGTGTGGCGATAGTGAAGCGGTTAGCGCTACGCTGCGCTATGAACCCGGCGATCCGGGTTCGATGCCCGCTCACGGCCAACACCAGTGACGATTATCTGAACCGGTCTTGGGCCTCCCCTAGGTCGACTCAGCCTCAAATGAGTACCGGATGCAGTGTGTAAACATCGCCACTGGGGAGACAAAGGCGGTCGGGCGTGGTGCTGGCCATCCACCCCCTCGTGTACCATTCCGGCCTTCATAGGTGCTCGCTAACAGCACTTGCCCCTACAGTCTGTCAAGGCTATACGGAGGATCTTTGTGTGGCGTGCACTGTGTGTGTAGTGTGTCCATGTGTTCTGCGTGTCAGTGCTGTGTACAATGCAGTAATGTGATGTGTGTCCTATATGTCTCTCTGACGAGCAATGTGGGGGGCATGGGGGGGAGCAGTTCTCATCTTAATGTCTGATTCAGTGGTGAAATTCCACATTCCCATTACGGGGAGAAGTCCATCCATCTCACAAATGATGACTTCCAAGTGCACTGGTGGGCGAGCTTGGGCAAGACGCGTGGCCAGAGGATGGGGCGATGACCCCGGCGGTCGAGACTAACGTCGGAGTGGCAGTCACATGAGGAAATAGCGCCCATGAGGATGTCCCCCGCGGAGATGCAGCGATTAATTAAGCTGAGCTCTCATGGGCCATCGCTCGGCGCAGTAGAGTGGTGAAGCTTTCATCCAGCGGTGGATTGAACGTGGCTGCTGCTATTGATGATGATGGATAACGATTGAGACGATTGCAGTGGCTTGCTGGTGGTGGTGGTGGTTGTGGGGGTAGCGAGGCCAAGTGGCCACACGCGGATTCCTGTACCATGCAGCAAAGGTAGGGACTTCCGAAACGTGCGCTTCGCATGACTTTTGATAAATAAAATATTTATTGGATACTTTCAATTTACACGCAGCATCGTCGTCGTCTTCTGTGCGCGTGCGTGCGCGTGCGTGCGCGTGTGTATTTTGAAGGCATGTGCATTGGACTCCGCATCACCAGCACACGTAGTCATTTTATATAATCACCCGACACAGATACGACTATTCACAGTCTATGACATGTAGTATTGTTATTATCATAATTAATAATCATCGTATATGCATGTAATAACGATGCGCGCGATGCACCCATGCTGCACACATACTTGCACGGTACTACGGGTTTCATATATATATAATTGCATGTCATATGCATACAGAGAGAGAGGGAGACAGGGCAAGCAAGCGAGAGATGGTGTACATCACATTCAGAACAGGGCGCCGACAGCACGACCGGTTTTACGCATGACACCTTCGCCAAAGTAAACACCGCAATCGCTGCAGGGTGATCACGTGAAGAGGAGTGCACGTCTCGAAGTGACTTGGCGTTCGTGAACGGATGTCACCCCGTGGCACGAGAGGTGGGGAATTTTTGGCCAAATGACAATACCACCGGACACTTTATTTGCCATTGAGGACGAACTAAATCAATAAAAACCTCACTGAGTCTCAAGACTCGATGTTTCAGGAGGACCCTACCACATTGCAGACGTATGACCTTGAATTCCGCTTGTTAGAGGTTTTCATTTCGTGACGGGTGGAAAAGCCAGAGAGGGCCCGGAGACACCCCGACTCCGCACTGCCCTCCGTGAGCGGGGAAGGCCCTCGACCCGCACTGCCGCCTGCTGGCCCACTGCTACGCCCATACCCCGGTAACGCGGTGTAGCCTTAACAGACTGTAGGGGCAAGTGCTGTGAGCGAGCACCTAAGCACCTATGAAGGCCGGCGATGTTTTGTATACACCGCACCAGGTACTCATTTGAGGCTGAGTCGACCTAGGGGAGGCCCAGGACCGGTTCAGATAATCGCCACTGGTGTTGGCCGTGAGCTGCAATCGAACTCGGGTCGCCGCGTTCGTAGCGCAGCGTTGGGCTAACCGCTACACTACCGCTCCCCACCCTCAAAAACAGACACACAGTCACGCACAGACACACACAGTCACGCACAGACACACACAGATGCACAGACACGCACAGACACGCACAGACACACACAGAGACGCACAAACACGCACAGACACGCACAGACACACACAGACACACACAGACACGCACAGACACACACAGACACACAGAAACACGCACAGACACGCACAGACACACACAGACACGCACAAACACGCACAGACACGCACAGACACACACAGACACGCACAGACACGCACAGACACACACATAGACACGCACAGACACACACAGACACACACACAGACACACAAACACGCACAGACACACAGACACACACACAGACACGCACAGACACACACAGACACACACACACACAGACACACACAGACACACACAAACACAGACACACACAGACACACACAAACACGCGCTCGTCACGGCTCGGTGAGCACTCGTGTCTCCGTGCTCTCATCCACGCGCCCGGACACGCGCGTGGATGATGAAGACCCCACGCGCCTGCTGCATCTCTCACACGCGCACACTCCCATCGGGGACACGAACTCGTGGCGGGTGGCGGGGTGGGGGGCGGCTAGGGTTGTGTTGGTGGATGGGTGGGTGGGGGCGCAGATAGAATACAGTCGCAGGTATTTAACAACAGAGAGAGAGAGAGAGAGACGGGAAGAAGGAGGCATGGAACGCAAACGACTTCAGCAGCAACCGCCGCCGCCCCAGGTTCAGACCGCACGCGGTGGGAGCGACCCTGGCTTGAGGCTGGAGGAGGACGAGAAGGAGGGGGAGGAGATCTCCCCCGGGCCTTGAGAGCCTCCCCGAGAGATCCCTGCGGGGGAGGAGGAGGAGGAGGAGGGGGCCGCGCGTCGCTTTCGGCCAGGCGTCCCGACGCCCACGTTGGTGCGCGTGCCGCTGAGCCGATGGAGTTTGTCCGTGAGGTCCGCCAGGATGCACGTGCTGAGGCCCGCGCAGCGCTTGGACACCGCGAGGTCCCGCTCGGGGCTGCGAGGAAGAGGGAGCGGCGGGGTTGCGGGAGGGGAGGGGAGGTGAAGAGACGAATTGACACGTGGAGGTAACACTGATATTGACTTTATGTTTTAAACGTGCTACACATTCGGCAACACCGCTGTCATTAAAGAAGGGCCATTGCCCGAAACGTCGTCGATTAAAACAAATCAAGCCGTAGAGTTGTTGACGAGTGTGTTCATTTGTGGGTTGTGCTCGTACACCACTGCCAACGCAGCAGCTCCTCTCTACTTTACACTCCTATCGTTGTGTTATACTGTTCACTATTGTAACGTTCTGACCTGCCCCATCGGATTCCACCAGGATAGCTAAATATTCTGTTTCTGATTGAGATCGTTGGTTCTGAAAGAGGCGCCCTCGTCCTCAGAGCGCCCCGCGCGCGATACGCGACTTGCGTCTCATCTCAACACAGCCGAAGGGAGCACCCCCAGTGGCAGCTGTCCACGTGTCGATACGGGTATGGCTCAGCGCCCGGCCTGCAAGGCGGGCTTTAGTGCGCCACTGCTACTTCTGTGTGTGAACCCAATTGTGCCATTTGCCGGTATCTTTTTTTACTTGGCAAACTTGAACCGTGACGCCGGCACAACAGTGGCCGTCTCTGGCGAGTAATACCACGGAAAGAGGGGGGGGGGAGTCTTTAACGTCTGCTGTGAAACAGACAACGCTTCGCTTTTACGGTGAAGATACCCGCCAGTATTTTCCAGGGCGCGCCTACTGGTGTCGAACTGCGAACCTCCGACGGGGGAAGACAGGGGTGTGTGGGCTCTCACCTGCCATCCCATCCCAGGGGCTCCGACTCCCACTGCGCCCCCTCCTCCTCGTCATCTCGCTGCTGCTGCTGCCCTCTGCCGTCGCCGGCGGGACGAAGGTAGCCGCTCACCAGCGCGCCCAGCAGCCTGCCCGCCACACCCGGCGGGCCTCCCTGCTCCAGGATGAGCCTGGGTGGAGGAGCGGACGAGTGAGTTCGTGGATGGGTGGGTGGGTGAGCGTTCGTGGATGGGTGGATGAATGAGCGAGTGGGTGGGTGGGTGGATGAATGAGTTAGTGGGTGGATGAATGAGTGAGTGGGTGTATGAATGTGTGAGTTGGGTGAGCTTTCGTGAATAAGTTAGTGAGTAAATGGGGTGAGTTTGTGGATGTGTGAGTGAGTGAGTGAATGGGGGGGGGGGGGGGGGGGGGGTGTGGTCGTGGATGAGTTGGTGGATGAGTGGTTGGGTGAGTGGGTGGGTGAGTGGGTGGGTGAGTGGGTGAGTGAGTGGGTGAGTGAGTGGGTGAGTGGGTGAGTGGGTGGGTGAGTGGGTAAATTCCTCTAGGATCCCGCTGTCTATTCACTCATGATGACCATGCCGCTTATGGTGCTGCTCCCCCGCACCCCCCTCCCGCCTGCCCCCAGGGTCCCCATGGCCACGCGCTCGCTGCTGGGGGAGTCTCTGGTGGAGCCCTGCAACGCGGCGTGCCCGTGCCCCCCAGGGGAGTGGGACCCCGTGTGCGGGGTCAACAACCTCACCTACGTGTCCCCCTGCCTCGCGGGCTGCGCCACCATGTCCGGCAGCGGCAAGGCCACGGTGAGTGGGTGGGTGAGTGGGTGGGTGGGTGAGTGGGTGGGTGAGTGGGTGGGTGATTGGGTGAGTGAGTGGGTGGGTGGGTGAGTGGGTGGGTGGGTGAGTGGGTGGTTGGGTGAGTGGGTGGGTGAGTGAGTGGGTGGGTGGGTGGGTGAGTGGGTGGTTGGGTGAGTGGGTGGGTGAGTGAGTGGGTGGGTGGGTGAGTGGGTGGGTGGGTGAGTGGGTGGTTGGGTGAGTGGGTGGGTGAGTGAGTGGGTGAGTGAGTGGGTGAGTGGGTGGGTGAGTGAGTGAGTGAGTGGGTGAGTGGGTGGGTGAGTGGGTGAGTGAGTGGGTGAGTGAGTGGGTGGGTGAGTGAGTGAGTGGGTGAGTGAGTGAGTGGGTGGGTGAGTGGGTGGGTGAGTGAGTGAGTGGTTGGGTGAGTGAGTGAGTGGGTGAGTGAGTGGGTGAGTGAGTGGGTGAGTGGGTGGGTGAGTGAGTGAGTGGGTGGGTGGGTGAGTGAGGGAGCGGTAGCGCTGCGGTTAGGGCGCTGCACTTCGAACCCGGAAACCTGGGTTCGATACCCGCTCTGAACCGGTCCTGGGCCTCCCCTAGGTCGATTTAGCCTCAAATAAGTATCTGGTGCGGCATCCCAAGACCATGGTATGCTAATCGTCTCTGTATCGTTCCAATTTTAGTCTATGTACTACCGGGGCAAAAGACGGAGAGACAGAGAGACACTGAGAGAGACAGAGAGACACTGAGAGAGACAGCGAGACACAGAGAGAGACAGAGAGACAGAGAGACATAGAGAAACATAGAGAGACAGAGAGACAGAGAGACGGAGAGACGGAGAGACGGAGAGACGGAGAGACAGAGAGACAGAGAGACAGAGATACACAGAGAGACACAGAGAGACACAGAGAGAGACACAGAGAGACACAGAGAGAGAGACATAGAGAGACATAGAGAGACAGAGAGACAGAGAGAGACGGAGAGACAAAGAGAGACGGAGAGACAGAGATACACAGAGAGACACAGAGAGACACAGAGAGAGACACAGAGAGACACAGAGAGAGAGACACAGAGAGACACAAAGAGAGACACACAAAGAGAGAGACACAGAGAGAGAGAGACGGAGACACAGAGAGACACCGAGAGACAGAGGGAGAGAGACACAGATAGAGAGAGCCGCACGCGCGCGTGTTGTGTGCACCTGGGAGGCGCGGCTCTGGAGCCGCTGAGCCGAGCCGAGAGGACGAGGCAGGCGAGGAGGAGCGACGCGTGGCGCGGAGACATCGTGAGCGGGGACGGTGGCTGCGGATTCTGCGGCTGCTGCGGTTGCTGCGGCTGTTGCTGCTGTTGCCGGAGTGATACAGCAGGGCTGTCGCGACACCAACAGGGCGATGCATTTGTGTGCGACACGACCACGGTGCGACATCACGCGACATCACGCGACGCGGCGAGATGCGAGGCTCAGTCAGTGAGATAGCGCGATCGTGTGCGACGCGGTGCGACACCCATTGCGAAGTAGGCGCGTTTCCCGAAACGTCGCGTATCATATACATTACCTTTTTATAATGCCACGGTGTTTTCATTTATGAGTGTGTGGGGGTTGTGCTTTTGTGAATTGTGCACCGCTGCCAAGGCGGTAGCAGCAGCAGCAGCATCACCAGACGATGTGTTTAAGCGCAACGTAACGGCACGTAGTGAGATAGTGCACGGTCGGCCACGTACGGTGCCAAAGAAGTTCAACGCACGTTGCGCGACACTTTGCGAGCCACCCGGCTCGACGCGATGCGACTGCCATTGTCGGTCGAGCAGAACGCACTCGCGAGACTCCGTGGTTCAAGCGATGTGCTCGGTACGCGCTGCCTGCAGTGGCGAGGGTTGTTAGCGGGCGCCTACGAAGGCTGGGACGGCGCACGAGGCGAGTGGTGCGGCTCGCAACCCGCACGGCCGCCTCTGTCTACCACAGGGCCAATGCTCACACACCGCGCCCAGTTAAGGCTGAGTCAACCTAGCTGGAGACCAGGATCCGTTCAGATATCACCCTTCACTGATTTCGGCCGAGGATGGGAAATTGAATCGCAATGCGCTAACCACGGAGCCCACCGCTCTCTCGCTCTCTCTCTCCGAACACGCAGCGCACTCAGCTGCGTTGGACGCTGTCGAGGAATCTCAGCCATTCCTCGACTGCGCGCGCACGGAGCGATGCGTGTCCGTGAATCTGGATGCTAGCCGTCACTTCGTTTTAAAGGGCACGGGTTGTGATTTACCAAGCAGGGGGAGGGGGGCAGTGTGGTTGGGGGGTGGGGGAAGGGTGGTGGGCAGCAAAGGAGAAGAAGCGACCCCCTGGACATGTACAGCACGCTTGTCATCCACTGCTGGATGAGTGTCTCCCCCGCGCAGTGCGGGACTTCCCCACACCGGTCAGGGCGGGTTGGTTGGTCACACAACGAGGTCGCCGATAGCACGAACCAGGCTAAGACCTGCTGAGCTTGCCAGATGTAGCGAGATCGGGCGCGTTCCGGTGACTTGGTCGTTCGCCTACTTATCACTCTTCTAGCGCTACTACCGGAGCTGATATTGCCGTTAACTGCACTCATTGATTGCTCCTCCACTCGGGTACACCACATCGACTCTTTCATCTCATCATCCACCACTGCGTTCAACCAGCACCACAGTGCAGGTCACAACAACACACTCACTCACTCACCATCCCACTCAATCACTCACCCACTCACTCACCACACTGCAGGTCACAACAAGACACTCACTCAAGCACTCACTCACTCACCATCCCACTCAATCACTCACCCACTCACTCACCACACTGCAGGTCACAACAACACACTCACTCAAGCACTCACTCACTCACCATCCCACTCAATCACTCACCCACTCACTCACCACACTGCAGGTCACAACAACACACACACTCAAGCACTCACCTTCTCACTCACTCACCCACTCACTCACCACACTGCAGGTCGTAACAACATACTCATTAAACCCATCACCCACCCACCCACTCACTCACCACACTGCACCTCACCGCTCTCTCTCTCTCTGCTGTATTCCTCGCGCTGCTCCCATCTGGGATTCCCTTCGCCCATTGTCGTCGTCGTCACCATCGTCTCTGGCCCCCCAACTCTTACAGAAACAATAACCTCGCTCAATTCAAGAAACGCCTTACACTCTTTGTCGATTTCAACTGTAATAATAACGGTGCTGTCTGTTACTGACCGCTTGGTGTGTTGGGCTTTTGAGCCCTGTGCTCAGTGACTTTGAGTTTCAAACATGACAACCAAAATGCACAAAGAGCGCTCCGCCTTTGTGCATTGTGCAAAACACGAATCCGCAGTTGCTGGAGAACTGCCATCGTGGTCCTGTTGTCTTCTAGAGGACCACGATGCTACGGTTGGCACGGTTGGCTGCGTACGGTGCGAAAGAAGTTCAACGTATATCAATCTAATTATACATACACACATCTATACATACACACATCTATACATACACACGTCCATTCAGACACGCATCTATACGTGAATCAAAATAAACTCGACGAAATATGACACCAACTGAAAGCAGCGGCAGCAGCAACAATGATGCGCAGACGCTGGGCCGGTTTCGCTGTAATCAAGACTCATCAGCACAGTACTGTCACCAATGCTGGCTGCTGCAAAGTGTGCCTCTGGGAAAGCGCGTGCGTTGGAGGTGTCCCCGCGGCCACACGGCGGGGCCCGGTGGCTCCGGCTCATGCCAACGAGGGTCACGCCCGCAAAGTGCGAGGCGAGGTCAGCATCGCATAGCAGGACAATAATAGCGCAGGGCCGCGAACCGCGAGTGCTGAACATCTACGGTATATCCCTGCTCCGTCGCATGGCAAATAAAGAGCAACGATGGCAGATTCACTGATCAGTGATTTAGCCGATCGACGGCTCGTTTTGGGAATCTGGTGAAGTTCTATCGATATCGGCTGATGCTGATGCAACGAGACGGACATTGAGAGGGTGAGACAAATCAGGGAGCTAGCGGACAATGCCTCCTTCGCATCTCCGTCTCTCCACGTAAAAAAACAAAATGAAAGTGTATTCCCACACATCCCATCAGCCGCACGCTCGAATACACAGCCCATCTTACACATCGGTGCGTGCGTAAATTCAACAGAATCGACTCATTAGGTGTGTTACGTTCTTACCCGTCCCTTGCTGGACATCTGTGTTAAAAAAAAGCCTCGTAGCTTATCTGATTCCTGCAGTAACAATATAAATCTTGATTCTGATTCTGATTCCGGACCGGTTTCGACACGCAGTGTCTCGACAGCCGCAAACAGAGTCGGGATCGCTCGAACCAATGCTGGCGAACTTCCGCTCTCAGAGGCGAGGGTCGTCTTCTCTTTACGCTCCGGGGTTATTGGAAGGGGACAGGATCATTGACTTACTGACAAAATAAAAAGTCCGGGGTACTTTTAATTTTCTGGGAGATGTCCTCTGTGGCTGGAGGTGAGGGCATTGCCACGTGCCTGCTAAAGATGCGATGGAAACATTTGATGCGGATGAATAGGAAGAGGCTTTACCCTTTCCGGCAATAAAACAGATGTCCAAACACCAATTAAATACCCTATTGCACGACATCAAGCCTGCATTAACCACACACACTTGCGGCAAAACATACAACAAACATGCTCTGGTCATGTATGCATTGTCTTGGAAACTGATTGGCCTAACACCTGTTTCAATACCAGCATGGGAAAAGCCTATTCTTATTATTTCATCATTTTGAAACTGGCAAAGAGGTCCCATCGATATGGAAATTTTTGTTGTCAGAGACAGCACTGAGGGTCTGGACCGAGCGATCTCCTGCCGCTCAAACGAGCATCGGGGCATCGGTGATCATCTCCTGTCCATAGCCCTGCCGAGATAGTGGTGTAAATTCCACATTCCTACCGCAGGAGGGGCGAGCCTATCCCATACGACAACCATACACTGCTGACTTCTCCACAACGTAGTACTTACTTTATCGACCGCGTAGGTTTGATGGGCTGAGACACCCCCCTGCCAACCAGGATTGTATTTTGTTATTATAATTCGCCTATGGAATAATCATCGGCTAACATCAGTGGCGACCATCCTGCACTTGACCCGCCTGGTGAAGTATGGCAAAAAAACCGTAGACTGACATGACATGGCGTGGAGGAGGGAGAAGCCTTCATCCAGCAGTGGATTACCCAAGCACTGAATGTTGATATCAGTAATATGAATACACGTCTACGTCCAAATCACCCTGCATGCGAACTCGTCGGATCTCGGCCGCTCAGCAGGGATGAGCCTGGTTCGATATCGCCACGGTTGACTCGAATACACGCGGCGTACAGCAGCTAGCACGAAGACGACGTGGAGACGCATCGAAGGCTGGCGTTGTGACGGACACGCCACGTTGTGGTAGAAGAGAAGTCTTAATAAGAGATGTATAGTTGTTTTTTGTATAAAAGATATTGATGATATTTCGCGATCCCATCTGTAAGTATGCGGTAGAGCGAGCGACTCGCAAGCGGAAGCCTGCGAGTTATCTCAGCCCATCATCCTATCGTGGTGGATAAAACGAGTAACCACTTTGCGATACTTGTCAACAAGTGGTTGTCGCCTATGGAAGGAGGATAACCTCGCCCCCGTCAAAGGAATGTGGAAATTCCATCGCGAGCTGAATGAACTGTGAATGGAGGGAGATGGCCAACGATTCACTGCTGAATGCGAGGCAAGAAACCACTTTGGCGTACGTGCACCTGTTGCTTGCAGGTGTGCACAGGTGTGCACAGGTGTACACAGGTGTGCAATGGTGTACACAGGTGTGCACAGGTGTACACAGGTGTGGGAAACGGAAGTGCAGCTGTTAGCCCGCTGCTCTACGAACCCGGCTACCTGGGTTCGATTCCCGCTCGCGAACAACGTGACGACTATATTTAGCAGTCCTGGGCCTCCCCTATGTCGACTCAGCCTCACATGAGTAGCAGGTGAAGTGTGTCAACATCGCCACACAGGGGAGACAAAGGCGGCTTGACGTGTTACTGGCCAATCACCCCTCGTGTCCCGCGCCGGACTTCCTAGCTGCTACTCGCTAACGGCACTTACCCCAACAGTCTGTGAAGGCTACACGGGTGATCTTTGCTCAGGTGTGTGTACAGGTGTGTGTACAGGGGTGTGTACAGGTGTGTGTACAGGTGTGTGTACAGGTGTGTATAGGGGTGTGTACAGGTGTGTGTACAGGTGTGTGTACAGGTGTGTACAGGGGTGTGTACAGGTGTGTGTACAGGTGTGTGTACAGGTGTGTGTACAGGGGGGTGTACAGGTGTGTGTACAGGTGTGTGTACAGGTGTGTGTACAGGTGTGTGTACAGGGGTGTGTACAGGTGTGTGTACAGGTGTGTGTGTACAGGGGTGTGCTCAGGTGTGTGTACAGGTGTGTGTACAGGTGTGTGTACAGGTGTGTGTACAGGTGTGTGTCAGTCTCACCTGATGGCTGGGCTCGGCTTGGGTGCTTCCTTCTTCCGCTTGCCCCAGGGCAGCCCGATCTCTCTGTCTCTATCCCGCATCACGCCGCGGGATATTTATACCGAGAGACGCTGGGGCGTGGAGGGGCTGGATGGGTTTGGGGATGTGGTGGGGGGGGGGTCGCTGGAGGAGATGTGGTTTTGTGGGGGGGGGGGGTGTTGGTGGTATTGGGGGGAGGGGGTGGGGGGGCTGCTAAAATGATGCGGGGGAGGATGGTATGCGCGGGCGAGGCGATACGTGTCTAATTCGCGTGTCTGTCTCGCGTGCGTGCGCATTGCGCTCCGAACACAGCCACTCCTGTTCCCTTCCGGGCCACGGCGAATATCACCGCCATACATCTGTACCGGCCCTGATCATCCCCTATGTAGTCTCAACCATAAACGGGTACCTGCTACGATGTGTAAACTTCAGTACTGGGGAGACAAAGGCGGCTGGTCGTGAGAACACGAATATTCTCTGGCTCCTGCACTATTTAACATCTTCTTTGATCACGCAGTTCGAGAGGTTGCGCGTGGCTGTAAGAATCTCCATCTGATACAGAACGCATGGGAGGCTGATTGATGCCCGGGTGCGGTTAAGGGATGACTCCCCATTGATCAACCATGTTACGCATGCGGATGATTTGGTAAATTGCTGCTCACTTTGATACAAGTCGGAGATTCCGCCGTTGAACCTGAAGCGTGACACTAAGAGATTGGGCCCTTCCATCAGTCCCACAAGAATAGAGCGCCTGCCTGGTGCACTTGATATCACCAAACCCCCCACCATCTCACATCCCCACGAGTGACGAGGCACGTGTGTAGAGAGTGGAGGAGTTTACGTATCTGAGCAGTGTGCTCGTTACTCGTTACGGTTTGGCAGCAGAGTTCTTATTCCGAATCAGTCGAGCGGCATTATCTTGTCATAGGTCGTAGATAACGCTGCTGTGTTGAAGCAACATAGCCTGCCGCTCTCTGCGACGCTACGGTTCATCTCGGTCACGGTTGTGCCCTCTCTACTCTGTGCTTGCGAAATGTTGAGTAGCTCACAGATCTCTGAATTGATCTGGACGCAAACCCATCGATGAGCTCCTCCGGCGAACGAGGCTGCGTTTCCGTGGGTCACGTAGCCCACAGACCCAGTCACCGCATGCCCAGTCAGCTTCTGTTTGGCCCGTTACAGGAGGCTAAACGAGCGCGGCACGGGCTAGAGAAGTGGAGCTGATGTGGTACAGAAGGATTTGGAGCTGAGTGGACTTGCCGATGACGGGAAACCAGCGGTGCCAAGATCGGCCTCTGCGAGGGAGGTTCGTGAAGGATGCTGCTGGGGAGTTGGAGGCAGTCGCCCTCCAGCAACAACGGAGAGCGACGCTGTTTTTGCGAGTGAGTGAATGTTTGTCGCGGTTTCCATCGTATCAGTATGTTTGTGTGCCACTGTCAATGATTGTGTCAGTGTGAAGCTGTTTAGTTGGTTTCATGTGCATATTCGCGTGTGCTACTCTCCTTGTGTCACTGTGTGTGAATTTGTAGCTCGTTGTGCTGGTGTGTATATTACTGCGTGCGTGTACGTGTGGGTGTGTCACCGTGTCTAGAGTAGCGGTTAGCGCGCTTCGCTACGAACCCGGCGACCCGAGTTCGATTCCCGCTCACGGCCAACACCAGTGCCGATTATTTTAACTGGTCATGAGCCTCCCCTAGGTCGACTCAGCCTTGAATGAGTACCTGGTGCGATCTGTGAACATCACTGGGGAGACAAAGGCGGCCAGGCGTGGTGCTGGCCACCCACCCCCTCGTGCGCCGTGCCGACCTTCATAGGTACTCGCTAACAGCACTCGCCCCAACAGTCTGTTCAGGCTACACGGGGGATCTTTGTTTTGTCACTGTGTGTCACAAGAAGTCGTCTCGTGACGTCACGTCGTTTAGACAATGCTCCCTCCCCCCTCGGTCCCCCCCCCGACTCGCTCCCTCCCTCCCCCTCGCTCCCTCCCCCCGCCTCGCCCCCTCCCCCACCCAGCCATCAATCCTCATAACTATCGATTAGCTCTCTAAATCAAATCGGCAACTGGCATAACCCCCCCCCTCCCGCTCCTTCCCCTCTTCCCACGTTGCCCGCATCGAGACCGCACCGGCCAAAGTATCATGGGGCAACGTAATAAGATTACTCGCGCAGGAAATAAGATGACTTCTCTCCTAACAGAAGACATGTTTCCTCCTCCGATACTCCCATCCAGTTACATAACTCATCTTCTCACTACAGGATTGTTGCTACGTTGCATAAAAAGCAAATTCTACTTCGACGGTATTCTCCAGATTTTAAGAGGGAACTCTTGTTTTAAGTTGTCTTTCTGTCTGTGCATTTAGAAACGCGCGCTGAGAGTATTTGCACTCTTTGGTTATTTAGGTGAAATCACGTAGGTAGAAAAAATTAGAGATCACGATTGTTTCGATCGCGACGCAAGCAATCGTCACCAGGCTTGCGTTGTGTGATCGAAACGTCGTGATGTATATTATTTTTTCTACCCACGTGACTTTCCCGAAAGAACCACAGAGTATGGATTCCTGCAGTCACGAAAGCTTCAAATCAAGATTGAGAGTATTTGGAAGCGATACGTTTCCACGTGATAAGCCACTTCGTTGAACTCTCATTTGTGGCCAGGTCGTTTCTGTAAAAAAAAAAAAACTATATAGCTCAGTGGGCCTTACTTGGTAAAATGGAAATAGTTTAGTAGTTTAGTTTAAAAGAAAAGTTGGGGGTGCGCCTTATAACCCGACATATATGCGCGTATGTGTGGACGTATTATAATCCAGAGAATATGATGTCTTCATCATCATCAGTATCATCATTAGCATCATCATCAGTGGCATCATCAGAATCATCATCAGCATCATCAGCTGTTGCTTATCCGATGTTAGTTTTGGTTGTACCGCAATGCTGTTCCTGAAAAAGCTCACACACAGCACGTGGAGCGAACCGCTGGACAATGTGCCGATCAACAACAACAACAACAGGGGGTACAATCAGAACACACCATCGGACAGCTGTCTACAAACATAATCAGCCATTGTCTATCCACTGCTGGTCAGTAGGTAAGATTGGAGACTGCACGGACACATCCCAGGCGTTGTAGTAGTTGGGAAGGTAGTCAGGAGTTGACAGAGAAGCGGTGAACTCATGAATCTATCTGTGCGGAGTTTAGTATGTGTGTTAACCCCTCTCACTCACAGCCAACCTCTCGTCATGTAGTACCGCAGCAGCAGCACCCTCTTGAAAATGAATCTTGAGACTCGGTGACACTTTCCTGGGTAAAGGAGGAGCATTGTTGTTGTATTATTATTATAATTATTAACTCGAGCAGTGAGTGGGCTCCGGCAGGACCCGTCGCTAGACGGATTGACGGTCGACGGCCAACACTGATCACTGTTGAGTGGCAGCCAGCGACTGCGAATCGTGCACCAAGGGGATGGGGCGATGATTGCTCAGAGCGAGCCGCATGTCCTGAATGGATGACTGCATCGCAGGATCGCGAGAAGTGGCGACGGCCTGGGGAAGAGGGCCCTCATCCAGCAGTCGATCAACCATGGCTGATGACGATGTTCTTTTTGATGATGGTGATGAGAGCTTCCGAGATTGTCACGGGGTGATGTTCGTAAACTCCCACGTGCGTTTCTCGCGACTGGGCTGCCGCAGATTATTAACAGCAAATGCAGACCGAAGCTTTAAACAAATGAGGAGTCATAATTAGACAGGGTCTGTTTCATTTTAACGTTTAACTCGAACAAATAACTCAACCAGTCGCCAACTTGACTTACTGGTTATGATGATGGCACGAAGTGTACGGCTCCTTTCTCAATCCACTGCTATACGAAGGCCTCCCCACGCGGCGTCGTTCGAGGATGGTTTGACCATACTTCACCTCGCTGGGTCAGTGCGGCTTGGACGAAACGGTGCTGGAGGTATACGCCCGCGACAATACCTCCGCCACCTGTCAGTGGCCCGGGCCCATAGCGCGGTGCACACCACTGCGCCACCGCTCCTCCCAACTCCAACGCATTTGACTCGAGCGCAACAACAACGGTGACGCGCGAGTGGCAACTTCCTCGGATTTGTGTTGGAGCCCCGAGGGCGCGACAACTCAATGGGCGTGACTCTGCATTCACGCAGAGAGTCCTCCAGGGGTCTTAGGCCGAATAATAAATAAATAAAGAGTATTTAAAGATTAATTCGAAATCAATGGAATCAGTCTCATCTGCACGTCACCGCATGCGCCCCCAGACTTCCCATTCTCCCCTCCCCCTCGATCCCCCCCCCCCCCATGGCAGAACCCCCAACCCCCCACCCTCACCCCCCACCCTCATTCCCCACCCTCACCGCACAGCCCCCAGCCCCCTCCCCCTCTGAACCCCCCCCCCCCCACCCATAATTTGCTCAATGGAGTTCATACTGGGCGAGAGGAACCTGCGCCGATGCGGATGATGGTCGTACTGATGATGATGATGGTCGTACTGATGATGATGATGACCGTGCTGATGATGATGACCGTGCTGATGATGATGACCGTGCTGCTGCTGATGATGATGACCGTGCTGATGATGATGATGTGCGTAATGTGAAAGCGGTGTGAAAAACGCGAGCTGAGATGAGATGGATTTCCATTGCGATAAACGCAACGTCGATACAAAGGGATCGAATGAAAATGCGTTTGCATGGAACGTGACTCTTGCGAGTTAACGCGTCCGGGCAGCTATCCGCATGGACCGTGCGCGTGTGTAGGGGTAGTTGGGAGCGGTGGCGCAGCGGTTAACGCACGGCGTTACGAACCCGGCGGACCCGAGTTCAATTCCTGTTCAAGAACCATCAACACCAGTGACGATTATCTGTACCGATCCTGGGCCTCTTCTAGGTCGACTCCGCCTCCAAAGTGAGTTCCTCGTGGCTTGACTCTCGCCACTCCACTAGTCTTGCTTAACGCCAATCCTCATCGATAGTATCGGTCTGGAGAGCCAATAAGTTGATGGGACTACAACGACCAGCAGTTCCTGAAGAACTGCGCCGTCTATAAATTGAGCAAATGTGAACAACCGACGGACAGCAATGAGACAGAGAGACAGCTGTAGACCGGTTTCGCAGACATTGCAGCGGTGATCATTGGTCACTGTACTTTCGTGAAAAGTCTCTAATCAGGATGACACCGGTGTACAAATGTCTTTGTCTCGTCACTGCATGTGGGTTGGTCGCAATTGCTGGAGTCCGCAATGAACTTAGTTGGTAGCGTGTGGTTTCGCACAATGCGCAAGCCGTCGTGCGCATTGTGCACGTGCGTGTACGCTGTGGGAACTCCTACCCATAATGCTTTACAGCAACGCATCGTGAGTTTGTGCACTGGATACTTTTGTTTGTTTGCGTTGACTCGCACACGGACACACAACGTAAAAAAATGTCGCCATATAGCCTGAACAGACTGTTGGGTCAAGTGCTGTTAGCGAGCACCTATGAAGGCCGGAACGGCACACGAGGGGTGAGGGCCAACACCACGCCCGGCCGCCTTTGTCTCCCTAGTGGTGATTTTACACACCACACCAGGTACTCATTTGAGGCCGAGTCGACCTATGAGAGGCTCTTGACCGGTTCAAATAATTGTCACTGGCATTGGCGTGAGCGGGAATCGACCTCGTGACATCGAGTTCGAAGTGCAGCGCGCTGACCACTACACTACCGCTCCCCACACGGACACAGACACAGAGACGGACAACCACACGGACAGACCAACACGCAGACACACGCTGACACGGAGACAGACAGCTCGTTTGCAGGGAAAACGTTGATAGAGTCGTCCATCTGTTTCCTGCATGAAATGGATTTACAATTTATTTCAGATTTAGATTTATAGACAACGGACACTTATGTTTACTTTAAGTTGACGATGATGATACAAGACCGATATAATTGCACCCTTCACCGAGTAAACGATGTCTTCGCATGTTCACAGCATCTCATTTGTATAGCATTGTTCACGATAAAATAAAATAAAAAAATATGTATATCCAAGGTTGAACTCATCAATCAATCCACCATCGAATTAAGGCCTCCCCACGCCGCGTGGGTCGCGTGGGATTTTCGACCATACTTCACCACGCTGGTCAGTTCGAGTTGGTAAAGAGGAGGGAGGGGGGGGGGTTGACACTACTTGCCACTGATGTGGGCCGCGGCCCGGCAATAAAATTGGAATCCGCCGGGTTATTAGCGCAGCGCACTAACCACTGCGCCACCGCTCTCTCTTCCCCAAGGACCCCCCCCCCCCAAACGTCACGGGGGACAATACTTCCAGGAGTTTAAATTGTCCCCAAACCAGGATGATTCGCGAGCAAAGATTAATGAGGCCTTAAGGCCGCCGCGAACACACGAGCCGCTGATGTGGTCAGGACCACGCACGCCAGGCCACCTTTGCCTCCCCACATTCCACACCAATTACTCACGTTATTTATCTTAGGCCGAGCCACCTGAGCGATCAGTCGCGCAACCAAGTCGAACTCGAAGTCCCACTACTTATTCGTTGTCGCCTGCAACTGCTTTGTCCACGTCCCAGCGAGTGGTTGCGCAACGCGGGAAATGAAACCGCGTGCTATCAAGGATCCTAACGACCAATCACAGGTGCGCAAACGCGTAGCACGTGACGGTGAAACACGTGGTAACAAATTGCCGATGTTTCGATTGCGGTTGAAGAACTACTTGCAACTAGTTGCAGAGACGTCCGCGCATAATCGATTAAGCTGCAATGCAACTCAATGTTGACCTGGCTATACAATTTCCAGTGACTGATTGCGAAACACAGATAACAATAATTGTGCCTTTCTGGAGGCAAATTGATGCCAATACGAGCACACAGGTTACACACGAAGACAAACAACGCCCATATAGTCGTAAACACTGCAAGGATAAACTTGTAAGTGCTGTCAGCGAGCATCTATAAAAGTCACACACAATCAGGGGAGAGCCAGCAGCGGGAATCGAACTCGGATTTTTGTTGGTACCGAGCCTCAGAGCCTCTGCCCAGCGCACTGCGCCGGATTCGTATACACAGCACACACAACAAGACAAAGATCCCCCGTATAGCCTGTAATAGACTGTTGGGGCAAGTGTCGTTCGCGAGCACCGATGAAGGTTGGCGTGGCACAAGAGGGGGTCGGTGGTCAGCACGACGCCCGGCCGCCTTTGTCTCCCCAGTGGTGATTATTACACACCGCACCAGGTACTCATTTGAGGCTGATTCGACCTAGGGGAGGCCGATGACCGGTTCAGATAATTATCACTAATGCTGGCCACGAGCAAAAATCGAACTCGGCTCGCCGGGATCATAGCACAGGCCGCGATCCGCTGCGCCCCCCCCCCGCCCCGCTACCCCCCCCCCCTCTTCCACTCACACCACCGTCTCCCTGTGGGGATCAGCTTCAGGCAGCAGCAGTAGTTTCTGCGGCTCCCTCAATCGGGGATCATCCCCCGTCTCGGCGGGGCAGGGATCCCCGTCGCTTCGCGCCACCGTGAGGAGCTCCGCGTGGCCCCCCGCCGCGCCTTTCTCTGCGCCCCGCGCGTCCGCAGCCTCTCTCCGAAGTTGTCGCCGCACGTTGAAGACAACGAGAACGGCGAGCGCCACGGCCGTGGTGCGGAACCCCAGCATCACGGACACCACTGTGTACCTGTGCATCGCAGGGCCGGGGGGGGATAGGGTGGAGCGGGGGTGAGGACCGGGACATCGAGACATGGAGACCGCCCCCACCCCCTCCTCCCCCGTCGGCGACAAGAAAATCATCGCGAGCTTATGGTGCGGATGACCATCGTGGTGAAGTATGGTCAAAGCAATCCACACTGTTCTATCAGGCGGGTAACTCTCCCTGAGCTATAAGCCCTGTTTCAGAGGGCGACCTGACCACACGCGTGATGAGAGCTCATCATTCAAGCGGCTCCCCTTTGTCGTGTTCAGGCCCTGGCTCAAGAGCTTCTTCAACTCTTCCGACTGCGAGGGTTGGCAGCGGAGTGGCCGCACACAAACAAGCAAGCGGTCCCGGTTCGATTCCCGACGCGGGCGCGCCAGTTCGTGCGTTCGCGTTTTGTCCGTTCCCGTGATGGCGTGGTTAGTGGTGGTGGCGGTGTGGCTGCGGTGACATCCGGCGATAAGAGGGGTTGGTTGCGTGGTTGTTGCCGCGTGGTTGCGCGGTTACGAGAGCGAGCGAGCGGGCCCAGCCGGTGCGCGCGCTCTCGGCGCAGCACGGACGTTTCAATCAGAGCCAATGTCCTGCCCCGCATAATTAATCAACTCATGAAAATACATTTCTGTTCAATCAGCGAGCTTTAATTGAACCCGGCAAAGGAGCAGAGGTCATTGCGTGCTGCCAATTACAGGAGAGCGGAGCGCTTGAATACCGGGAAAATGTGGGGGGGGGGGGGGTACTTGTGGGGGGGGGGGGGTGGGATGCGGACAGGAGCGAGGGGAGGGAAAAGGGTGAAGGGGGGGGGAGTTGGGGGCCGGGGGGGAAGCAAGGCGAATGCGTCAGAGTCATCATGCGCAGGGACACGGGGTCGCGATGCACCCCCCCCCCTCCAGTCCCTGTCCCCCATCATCCAACCCACTACCCCCACCCCGTTCGGCTCCCAATTCCAGACCTCACCAAACCAGCTGAGTCCACGGCACTCTCGAGACGCCCACTTGAGATGGTCCGTGGAACTTGCCAAGGGTGATGAGATATCCATCGCTGATGATCATGGGTTAGGCACTGCTCATAACCAGGTTTTATTTAGGGGTTAGAGCGCGTAAGAATAAATGTGTCCATTAGCCAGCCACCACCCGACACAGCCAATTAGTCATTATTGTCACTTAAACAAAACGCGCCGATTGATTACTACTGCCGCCCACCAGTGTGTTGGAGAGTAAATCCACAACATTTACAATTTCAGTACCACGTTTTGCTGGTAATTACAACCAGCATCATCGGACGATTTGGCTAGAATTGTGCTGCTGCTGGTGGCAGTGATGCTGATGATGATGATGAAGGCAGTGGCGCAGCTACCGAGTGAGATAGTCCCCTTCCTCCTGAAGCCCCTTCCGTTCCTTTCTTAAAGCCTCACCACCGCGTCTCTATCGCCCATTCTCTTCCCTCCGCTCTCCCCTCCACTCCTTCCATCCCTCCCCTACCCCATCGTGATCCCTAAGCACCCCTCCACTATCGCTACCTTGTAGCGTGCCCCCTGACAACTCCATCGTTCCATCATGGGACCTCCCCTTGCCAGTATCAAAATATAAGAAAATTGTTACCCTTTCTGGCAATAAAGCAGTTGTGTTAAGATGTTAAAACACCAAACTAAAACCTTCTGCAAGCAACCATGTCTGCATTAACCACACACATACATGTGGTGAACATGCAAATTAAAAACATGCTCTACTAGTATATGCATTGAAACTCACTGACTTAGCATATACTACCAGAGCATCTTTTTTTTATTTGCTTGTTCACCACAAGTATATGTGGTTAATGCAGACGTGATTCCTTGCAAAAGTTTTCAGTTTGTTGTTTTAACAAATTAATACAGCTGTTTTATTTCCAGAAAGGGTAAACCCAATTCGTATAGATCGTTCCATTCTGTCGTCGCTTTGTAAGCTGTGGCAAGCGCCGTCTCCCGATCTTGAGTCAAGGCGCTCAGTATACATTTTAAGTTGATTAGAGACTGGGCAGGGATGGGAGTTCAGTTCCATTCATTCCTTGCACGAGGGCTTTCCAGACGACGCCACTGGATGCTGCTGCTGATGCTTGTGTAGTCGGGAACGCCGATACTGGTCTACAATGATTAGCTGTCGGTCATCTCAGTCGGTCGACCTGGAACACCACAGCACATGGCCACGGGGTGCACCGGGCCTAGCACAGGCGCAGTGGTGACGTCACCGCGACGAACGCCGATTGCTGTCGGTATGTGTCGCCGTCTCACGCACTGACGTCACTCACCTGTGCAGAAGGCGTGTCACGATTCTGTGAATGGTCACGGCTCAATTTCCCCCGAGGCCATCACTATTTAATCCGGCGGTGATGATCACGTCGGACCTGGTGTTCATTCTCACCTCCCTCTCTCACCTGTCTTCTCCCACTCTCACCTGTCTTCTCTCACTCTCACCTGTCTTCTCCCACTCTCACCTGTCACCTCCCGCTCTCACCTGTCACCTCCCACTCTCACCTGTCTTCTCCCTCTCTCACCTGTCTCCTCCCTCTCTCACCTGTCACATCCCACTCTCACATGTCTGCTCTCACTCTCACCTGTCTTCTCTCACTCTCACCTATCTTCTCTCACTCTCACCTATCTTCTCTCACTCTCACCTGTCTTCTCCCTCTCTCACCTGTTTTCTCTCACTCTCACCTGTCTTCTCCCACTCTCACCTGTCTTCTCCCTCTCTCACCTGTCACCTCCCTCTCTCACCTGTCTTCTCCTACTGTCACCTGTCTTCTCCCACTCTCACCTGTCTTCTCCCACTCTCACCTGTCACCTCCCTCTCTCACCTGTCTTCTCCCACTCTCACCTGTCTTCTCCCCCTCTCACCTGTCTTCTCCCCCTCTCAACTGTCACCTCCCTCTCTCACCCGTCACCTCCCACGCTCACCTGTCTTCTCCCCCTCTCACCTGTTTCTCCCTCTCTCACCTGTTTTCTCTCACTCTCACCTGTCTTCTCCCACTCTCAACTGTCTTCTCTCACTCTCACCTGTCTTCTTCCTCTCTCACCTGTCTTCTCCCTCTCTCACCTGTCACCTCCCTCTCTCACCTGTCACCTCCCACTCTCACCTGTCTTCTCTCAATCTCACCTGTCAGTTCCTACTCTCACCTGTCACCTCCCTCTCTCACCTGCCTCCTCCCACACTCACCTGTCTTCTCCCACTCTCACCTGTCACCTCCCACTCTCACCTGTCTCCTCCCACTCTCACCTGTCTCCTCCCACTCTCATCTCTCTTCTCTCACTCTCACCTGTCTTCTCTCACTCTCACCTGTCACCTCCCACTCTCACCTGTCTCCTCCCACCCTCACCTGTCTTCTACCACCCTCACCTGTCTTCTCCCTCTCTCACGTGTCTCCTCCCACTCTCACCTGTCACATCTCACTCTCACCTGTCTTCTCCCTCTCTCACCTGTCTCCTCCCACTCTCACCTGTCTTCTCTCACTCTCACCTGTCACCTCCCACTCTCACCTGTCTCCTCCCACTCTCACCTGTCTTCTCCCTCTCTCACCTGTCTCCTCCCTCTCTCACCTGTCACATCCCACTCTCACCTGTCTTCTCTCACTCTCACCTGTCTTCTCTCACTCTCACCTATCTTCTCTCACTCTCACCTATCTTCTCTCACTCTCACCTGTCTTCTCCCTCTCTCACCTGACTTCTCTCACTCTCACCTGTCTTCTCTCACTCTCACCTGTCTCCTCCCACTCTCACCTGTCTCCTCCTACTCTCACCTGTCTTCCCTCACTCTCACCTGTCTTCTCCCACTCTCACCTGTCTCCTCCCTCTCTCACCTGCCTTCTCCCACTCTCACCTGTCTTCTCCCACTCTCACCTGTCTTCTCCCTCTCTCACCTGTCACCTCCCTCTCTCACCTGTCTTCTCCTACTGTCACCTGTCTTCTCCCACTCTCACCTGTCTTCTCCCTCTCTCACCTGTCACCTCCCTCTCTCACCTGTCACCTCCCACTCTCACCTGTCTTCTCTCAATCTCACCTGTCAGTTCCTACTCTCACCTGTCACCTCCCTCTCTCACCTGCCTCCTCCCACACTCACCTGTCTTCTCCCACTCTCACCTGTCACCTCCCACTCTCACCTGTCTCCTCCCACTCTCACCTGTCTCCTCCCACTCTCATCTCTCTTCTCTCACTCTCACCTGTCTTCTCTCACTCTCACCTGTCACCTCCCACTCTCACCTGTCTCCTCCCACCCTCACCTGTCTTCTACCACCCTCACCTGTCTTCTCCCTCTCTCACGTGTCTCCTCCCACTCTCACCTGTCACATCTCACTCTCACCTGTCTTCTCCCTCTCTCACCTGTCTCCTCCCACTCTCACCTGTCTTCTCTCACTCTCACCTGTCACCTCCCACGCTCACCTGTCTCCTCCCACTCTCACCTGTCTTCTCCCTCTCTCACCTGTCTCCTCCCTCTCTCACCTGTCACATCCCACTCTCACCTGTCTTCTCTCACTCTCACCTGTCTTCTCTCACTCTCACCTATCTTCTCTCACTCTCACCTATCTTCTCTCACTCTCACCTGTCTTCTCCCTCTCTCACCTGACTTCTCTCACTCTCACCTGTCTTCTCTCACTCTCACCTGTCTCCTCCCACTCTCACCTGTCTCCTCCTACTCTCACCTGTCTTCCCTCACTCTCACCTGTCTTCTCCCACTCTCACCTGTCTCCTCCCTCTCTCACTTGCCTTCTCCCACTCTCACCTGTCTTCTCCCACTCTCACCTGTCTTCTCCCTCTCTCACCTGTCACCTCCCTCTCTCACCTGTCTTCTCCTACTGTCACCTGTCTTCTCCCACTCTCACCTGTCTTCTCCCACTCTCACCTGTCACCTCCCTCTCTCACCTGTCTTCTCCCACTCTCACCTGTCTTCTCCCCCTCTCACCTGTCTTCTCCCCCTCTCAACTGTCACCTCCCTCTCTCACCTGTCACCTCCCCCTCTCACCTGTTTCTCCCTCTCTCACCTGTTTTCTCTCACTCTCACCTGTCTTCTCCCACTCTCACCTGTCTTCTCCCTCTCTCACCTGTCTTCTCCCTCTCTCACCTGTCACCTCCCTCTCTCACCTGTCACCTCCCACTCTCACCTGTCTTCTCTCAATCTCACCTGTCAGTTCCCACTCTCACCTGTCACCTCCATCTCTCACCTGCCTCCTCCCACACTCACCTGTCTTCTCCCACTCTCACCTGTCACCTCCCACTCTCACCTGTCTCCTCCCACTCTCACCTGTCTTCTCCCACGCTCACCTGTCTTCTCCCACCCTCACCTGTCACCTCCCACTCTCACCTGTCTTCTCTCACCCTCACCTGTCTTCTCCCTCTCTCACCTGTCACCTCCCACTCTCACCTGTCTTCTCTCCCTCTCTCACCTGTCTCCTCCCTCTCTCACCTGTCTCCTCCCTCTCTCACCTGTCACCTCCCACTCTCACCTGTCTCCTCCCTCTCTCACCTGTCTTCTCTCCCTCTCTCACCTGTCTCCTCCCACTCTCACCTGTCTCCTCCCACTCTCACCTGTCACCTCCCACTCTCACCTGTCTCCTCCCTCTCTCACCTGTCTTCTCTCCCTCTCTCACCTGTCTCCTCCCACTCTCACCTGTCTCCTTCCACTCTCACCTGTCACCTCCCACTCTCACCTGTCTCCTCCCTCTCTCACCTGTCTCCTCCCTCTCTCACCTGTCTTCTCCCACTCTCACCTGTCTCCTCCCACTCTCACATGTCACCTCCCACTCTCACCTGTCACCTCCCTCTCTCACCTGTCTCCTCCCTCTCTCACCTCTCACCTCCCTCTCTCACCTGTCACCTCCCTCTCTCACCTGTCTCCTCCCTCTCTCACCTGTCCTCTCCCACCTGTCTTCCCTGTCGCACCCCCCCCCCCCCCCACCTGTAGGATTTGATGTCGTAGAGGCGGCAGGAGCCCTGACCGCTGCAGCCGCTGCTCGTCCACTTGAGGCACGTGGAGTCGATGGCAGCGCCGAAGAAGATCGGGGCAGGGATCCCGGCTGCATCGCACACACGCAGTAGCTCAACAACCCCCCCCCACAACAACACCCCCCCCCCCCCTCAACAACCCCCCCCCCCCACTCAACAACCCCCCCACACTCAACAACCCCCCCCCCCACAACCTCCCCTACTAAACCCCCTCCCCCCCCCCCGCTCGGCCCCCTCCCCCGCCAGCTCGATTCCCCCCCGATTCAACCACCCCCACAAAGCCCCCCGGCTCGACCCCCCCTCGTTTGACCCTCCCCCCCACCTCACCCGGCCTGCCCTCGCTCCCCCCCCGTTTCTCCGAGCGAGAGTTTATTTCACTCATCAACTGCCTTGAGACTGATTTCACGTGTCGAGAGAACTGCAGAGCTCGGGCATGTTGGAGCCGGCTGGCTCGCTGGCTGGCTGCTGGCGTGTCTGCGGTTCCTCGGCGTTTGCCTCAACGACGACCGGACCACAACGCCGAATGTGAAAACTCAAACATCACCATTGCTGCTGTTGTTGTTTCACGCAGCGGCCCGTGGTGTCTACACCGAGTGCTCTTCACCGCAAGGCCCGAGGGGGGCCACTGGCAGCCCCTGGCGGCCTCTAGTGCGGCCCCTGATGTGCGACCTCCGACAATACAAACAGAGTGACAGCACTCCCCGTCATCGTGCCGCTGTCAAACTCACAATGGTTTCAAATATTTGGCGGGCCTCGCACTGACGATGTCTTATCCACGGAAGTGGCCCCCTCTAAAAATGTGTGAAGAACACTGGGCTGGATGAAGACATCAACAACAACAAGGGCGATCTCTTGGTGGTGGGTGGTGGTTGGTGGTAGTGGGTGGTGGTTGGTGGTGGTGGGTGGTGGTGGTGGGTGGTGGTGGGTGGTGGTAGTGGTGGTGGGTGTGGGTGGTGGTGGTGGTGGTGGTGGGTGGTGGTTGGTGGTGGGTGGTGGTTGGTGGTGGTGGGTGGTGGTGGTGGTGGGTGGTGGTGGGTGTGGGTGGTGGTGGGTGGTGGTGGTGGTGCGGCCCGAGTGGAGGGGGATGAAGGGAGGGCAACACTCACCCAGGGTGCGAATCACGAGCATCTGGATCCCGATGGCGAACGCCTTCAGCGTCTTGGGGATGCAGCTGCAGGGCCACAGAACGAGACGATCACGCGGTGAGCGGTGATGGTAGTGGTGGTGGTTACACTGGTAGTGGTGATGGTGGTAGTGGTGGTGGTAGTGGTGGTGGTGGTTACACTGGTAGTGGTGGTGGTGGTGGTTACACTGGTAGTGGTGATGGTGGTTGTGGTGGTGGTAGTGGTGGTGGTGGTTACACTGGTAGTGGTGGTGGTTACACTGGAAGTGGTGGTGGTAGTGGTGGTTACACTGGTGGTAGTGGTTACACTGGTAGTGGTGGTGGTTACACTGGTAGTGGTGGTGGTGGTTACACTGGTGGTGGTGGTTACACTGGTAGTGGTGATGGTGGTAGTGGTGGTGGTAGTGGTGGTGGTGGTGGTTACACTGGTAGTGGTGGTGGTGGTTACACTGGAAGTGGTGGTGGTAGTGGTGGTTACACTGGTGGTGGTTACACTGGTAGTGGTGGTGGTTACACTGGTAGTGGTGGTGGTAGTGGTGGTTACACTGGTAGTGGTAGTGGTGGTTACATTGGTGGTGGTGGTTACACTGGTAGTGGTGGTGGTTACACTGGTAGTGGTGGTGGTTCCACTGGTAGTGGTGGTGGTGGTTACACTGGTAGTGGTGGTTATACTGGAAGTGGTGGTGGTGGTAGTGGTGGTGGTTACACTGGTAGTGGTGGTGGTTACACTCGTAGTGGTAGTGGTGGTTACACTGGTAGTGGTGGTGGTTACACTGGTAGTGGTGGTAGTTACACTGGTAGTGGTAGTGGTGGTAACACTGGTAGTGGTGGTGGTTACACTGGTAGTGGTGGTGGTTACACTGGTAGTGGTGGTGGTTACACTGGTAGTGGTGGTTACACTGGTAGTGGTGGTTACACTGGTAGTGGTAGTGGTGGTTACACTGGTGGTGGTGGTGGTTACACTGGTGGTGGTGGTTACAGTGGTAGTGGTGGTGGTTACAGTGGTAGTGGTGGTGGTGGCTACACTGGTAGTGGTGGTGGTGGTGGTTACACTGGTGGTGGTGGTTACACTGGAAGTGGTGGTAGTTACACTGGTAGTGGTAGTGGTGGTTACACTGGTAGTGGTGGTGGTGGCTACACTGGTAGTGGTGGTGGTTACACTGGTAGTGGTGGTTACACTGGTAGTGGTTGTGGTGGCTACACTGGTAGTGGTAGTGGTGGTTACACTGGTAGTGGTGGTGGTGGTTACACTGGTAGTGGTGGTGGTTACACTGGTAGTGGTAGTGGTGGCTATACTGGTAGTGGTGGTCGTTATGTAAATGGATGACGATGCTATCGATGTTGGTGACGAGGTTCGTGCTCGCTGCGGTGGTGACGACAAGTCGCACCGTCCGTAGCCGAGCGTGCTCATCGGAGGGGCGGGGGCAGCACAACAAAGTAACGCAACAACAACAACAAGAAGCAGTTCTAAATCTAGATGATTTCAAAGCGCATAAGCTCCCAAGGCAGAGCATTCCAGACGGCCGAAGAAAGCGCATCTGAAAGCGCCGCGCGATGCAGCGGTTTGCGACGCCGCCGGTGATGCTGACGATGATGGCGATGCCGCCTCGTCCGTACCGCAAGAAGATGAGCTGCGACGCGGTGAACCCCATGGAGCCGACGAGAGAGGCGAGCACCGAGGCCACCATGAACTGGAGGAAGGCGGTGGGACACTCGGAGCCTCGCGGGCACTGCCCCAGCACGGCCGAGGCGTTCCCCCACGCGGCGCCGCCCACGCACGCGCACTGTTCAAACGCCTGCGTGCAACAAGGACAAGGGCGTCCATGCACTCACCCGCTCGCACGTGCAGCCTTGAACAGCGCGCCGGGGCAAGTGCTGTTTGCGAGGAGCGGTGCTGTAGACGACATGCCCTGCCTGTGAAGGCCGACACGGCACACAAGGCGGTGGCGTGTGGCTGATATCACGTCCGGCCGCCTTTGTCTCCCGATTGGCGATTTCTTTTTTTTGTTACGAATCGTGCAAGGTTCTCGTTTCAAAGGCCGAGTCGACCTGTCCAGACATTCACCACTGATGGAGGTTGTGAGTGGGAACCGAACTCTGGCCGCCGGGTTAGCGCGGTGCGCGAACCGCTGCGCCACCGATCCTCATCATTACAATCATGGAACCCACGTGCATTTATGGTACACACCTGGGTGCACACACACAGGTCTCACCTGTAGCAGCTACAATCATGGAACGCAATTGTATTGATGAAACGCGCACAATGAACATACCTGGGTACACACGGACTGCTGAAACGCCTGTGTAAAGGGCCACACACGTGACAACACGTGTCTCATATTTTTCATGACCTCGCTTATGTATCCAGATAAGTATCACTGAGCCTCAGTCGTCTTTCTCGGGAGGGTCCTGCCAAATATTTTTTGCAGTAGGGGGCGATAACTGCTGGGGTGAATATAACCCCGACCGAGTAGCCTGGGGGATAATTATTTCAAATGTGGCAAATATGGACCCGATCAAAAGTTGCAAATCACAACTTTGGTTGTATCAAAGCGCTCATCTTCTACTTCAGCCGCCGTGATCCGACGCGGCGTAGGGAAGCCTTCTCATCCAGCAGTGGATTGGCACAGGGCTGGCTGCACGAGGAATAGTCGCTGTACCACGCGAATATCGCCACCTCGTGGCCTCTCAGCCAACCCGCACCCCCCCCCCCAGGACACCCCCCTCGCCATTAGTCATGGGCAGGGGTCCGCAAACTTGCGGCTCTTCAGGACTGCTTCGTGACGTCATTTACTAAGGACCCCCACCGTCACGTGTTCACCACCACCACCACCGTCACGTGTTCACCACCACCGCCGTCACGTGTTCACCACCGTCTCGTGTTCACCACCGTCTCGTGTTCACCACCACCACCGTCACGTGTTCACCACCGTATCGTGTTCACCACCACCACCGTCACGTGTTCACCACCGCCGTCTCGTGTTCACCGCCGTCTCGTGTTCACCACCACCGTCACTTGTTCACCACCACCGCCGTCACGTGTTCACCGCCGTCTCGTGTTCACCACCACCACCGCCGTCTCGTGTTCACCGCCGTCTCGTGTTCACCACCACCACCGTCTCGTGTTCACCACCACCGTCACGTGTTCACCACCACCGCCGTCACGTGTTCACCGCCGTCTCGTGTTCACCACCACCACCGCCGTCTCGTGTTCACCGCCGTCTCGTGTTCACCACCACCACCGTCTCGTGTTCACCACCACCGTCACGTGTTCACCACCACCGCCGTCACGTGTTCACCGCCGTCTCGTGTTCACCACCACCACCGCCGTCTCGTGTTCACCGCCGTCTCGTGTTCACTACCACGGCGCATTTAGGTTCTTGAAATATTAAGGGTTTTTTTATTTTTTACCGAATCCTTAAAAGTTGGTTCTTCTTGTAATTGCCTTTGCCTAGCCCTGGCCATGGGCAATCCACTGCTGGATGAAGGTCCTCCCCACGCCGTCGCCGCCGGCACCTCAGACGGCCCTGCGATGTCACCCCCCCCCCCCCATCCCAGCACCTGTAGCCCGCGAGCCGAGTTCATCATCGCTCCGTCTCTGCTGTGGACGTGCTCTCGGGCGTGCTTCCTTATTGTGCCCGCCACTCTGTGCGTAGTCCGAGGGTGGTGGGGGTACACCCCCGCCCCCCTCCACTGCCTGTCAACTCGCCGTCCGTGCCACTCGGTGTCTCGCGCGGGGAGCGGCGGCGCAGCGGTTGGGGCACTCACCCACCCACTCACTCACCCACTCACTCACTCACCCACTCACTCACTCACCCACCCACTCACTCACCCACCCACTCACTCACCCACCCACTCACTCACCCACTCACTCACTCACCCACCCACTCACTCACCCACTCACTCACTCACCCACCCACTCACTCACCCACCCACTCACTCACCCACCCACTCACTCACCCACTCACTCACTCACCCACCCACTCACTCACCCACCCACCCACTCACTCACTCACCCACTCACTCACCCACTCACCCACTCACTCACTCACCCACCCACTCACTCACCCACTCACTCACCCACCCACTCACCCGCTCACTCACCCACCCACTCACCCACCCACTCACCCACCCACCCACTCACTCACCCACCCACCCACTCACTCACCCACCCACCCACTCACTCACTCACCCACCCACCCACTCACTCACCCACCCACCCACTCACTCACCCACCCACCCACTCACTCACCCACCCACCCACCCACTCACTCACCCAATCACCCACCCACTCACCCACCCACTCACCCACCCACTCACCCACCCACTCACCGTGGCCTTGCCGCTGCCGGACATGGTGGCGCAGCCCGCGAGGCAGGGGGACACGTAGGTGAGGTTGTTGACCCCGCACACGGGGTCCCACTCCCCTGGGGGGCACGGGCACGCCGCGTTGCAGGGCTCCACCAGAGACTCCCCCAGCAGCGAGCGCGTGGCCATGGGGACCCTGGGGGCAGGCGGGAGGGGGGTGTGGGGGAGCAGCACCATCAGCGGCATGGTCATCATGAGTGAATAGACAGCGGGATCCGAGAGGAATTTACCCACTCACCCACCCACTCACCCAATCACTCACCCACTCACTCACCCACCCACTCACTCACTTACCCAATCACTCACCCACTCACTCACCCACTCACTAACTCATCCACCCACTCACCCACTCACTCACTCACCCAACCACCCACTCACCCACTCACTCACCCACTCACTCACCCACTCACCCACCCACTCACCCACCCACTCACCCAACCACTCATCCACCAACTCATCCACGACCACACCCCCCCCCCCCCCCATTCACTCACTCACTCACACATCCACAAACTCACCCCATTTACTCACTAACTTATTCACGAAAGCTCACCCAACTCACACATTCATACACCCACTCACTCATTCACTCACCCACCCACCCACTCACTTACCCAATCACTCACCCACTCACTCACTCACCCACTCACTAACTCATCCACCCACTCACCCACTCACTCACCCAACCACCCACCCACTCACCCACCCACCCACCCACTCACCCACCCACCCACTCACCCACTCACTCGCTCACTCACTCGCCCGCCCACCCACTCACTCACTCACCCATCCACTCACCCACCCACTCACTCACCCACTCGCTCACCCACCCACCCGCCCACTCACCCACCCACCCACCCGCCCACACACTCACTCACTCACTCGCCCGCCCACTCACTCACTCACCCATCCACTCACCCACCCACTCACTCACCCACCCACTCACCCACCCACTCACTCACCCACTAACCCACCCACTCACTAATCCACTCACCCATCCACTCACTCATACACTCACCCACCCACTCACCCACCCACTCACTCACCCACTCAACTATCCACTCACTCACCCACTCACTCACCCACCCACTCACTCACCCACTCACTCACCCACCCACCCGCCCACCCACTCACTCACCCACCCACCCGCCCACACACTCACTCACTCATCCACCCACACACTCACACACCCACTCACCCACTCACTCACCCACCCACTCACTCACCCACTAACTCACCCACTCACTAATCCACTCACCCATCCACTCACTCATCCACTCACCCACCCACTCACCCACCCACTCACTCACCCACTAAACTATCCACTCACTCACTCATCCACTCATCCACCCACTCACTCATCCACTCACTCACTCACCCACCCATCCACCCACGCACTCACCCACTCACTCACTCACCCACCCACCCACCCACTCACCCACCCACTCACCCACCCACTCACTCACTCACCCACCCACTCACTCACCCACTAACTCACCCACTCACTAATCCACTCACCCACCCACTCACTCATCCACTCACCCACCCACTCACTCACCCACTCAACCATCCACTCACCCACCCACTCACTCACCCACTCAACCATCCACTCACCCACCCACTCATGCACTCATCCATCCACTCACTCATCCACTCACTCACTCATCCACTCACTCACTTACTCACCCACCCACCCACTCACTCATCCACCCACTCACTCACCCACCCACCCACTCACTCACCCACCCACTCACTCACTCACCCACTCACTCACTCACCCACCCACTCACTCACCCATCAACCCACCCACCCACTCACCCACTAACCCACCCACTCACTAATCCACTCACCCACCCACTCACTCATCCACTCACCCACCCACTCACCCACTCAACCATCCACTGACCCACTCACTCACTCATCCACCCACTCACTCACCCACTCACCCACCCACTCACTCATCCACTCACCCACCCACTCACCCACTCGTCCACTCACCCTACTCACCTTACTCACCCACTCGTCCACTCGTCCACTCATCCTACTCACCCTACTCACCCGACTCACCCACTCACCCACTCGTCCACCCACCCACTCACCTTACTCACCCTACTCACCCTACTCACCCACTCGTCCACTCACCCTACTCACCCTACTCACCCTACTCACCCACTCGTCCACTCACCCTACTCACCTTACCCTACTCACCCTACTCACCCTACTCACCCATTCGTCCACCCACCCACTCACCTTACTCACCCACTCGTCCACTCACCCTACTCACCCCCCTCACCTTACTCACCCACTCGTCCACTTACCCTACTCACCCCCTCCCCACTCACCTTACTCACCCACTCGTCCACTCACCCTACTCACCCCCACTCACCCCCACTCACCTTACTCACCCACTCGTCCACTCACCCTACTCACCCCCACTCACCTTACTCACCCACTCGTCCACTCACCCTACTCACCCCCCTCCCCACTCACCTTACTCACCCACTCGTCCACTCACCCTACTCACCCCCTTCCCCACTCACCTTACTCACCCACTCGTCCACTCACCCTACTCACCCCCCTCACCTTACTCACCCACTCGTCCACTCACCCTACTCACCCCCTCACCTTACTCACCCACTCGTCCACTCACCCTACTCACCCCCCGGCCCCCTCACCTTACTCACCCACTCGTCCACTCACCCTACTCACCCCCTCACCTTACTCACCCACTCGTCCACTCACCCTACTCACCCCCCTCACCTTACTCACCCACTCGTCCACTCACCCTACTCACCCCCTCACCTTACTCACCCACTCGTCCACTCACCCTACTCACCCCCCGGCCCCCTCACCTTACTCACCCACTCGTCCACTCACCCTACTCACCCCCCTCACCTTACTCACCCACTCGTCCACTCACCCTACTCACCCCCTCACCTTACTCACCCACTCGTCCACTCACCCTACTCACCCCCCGGCCCCCTCACCTTACTCACCCACTCGTCCACTCACCCTACTCACCCCCCTCACCTTACTCACCCACTCGTCCACTCACCCTACTCACCCCCTCACCTTACTCATCCACTCGTCCACTCACCCTACTCACCCCCCGGCCCCCTCACCTTACTCACCCACTCGTCCACTCACCCTACTCACCCCCTCACCTTACTCACCCACTCGTCCACTCACCCACTGTTGTCCACCGTGAGGCCCACGACCTGCGCCTCGCTGCACCCGAACACGAAGTAGGAGAACACGATGAGGTAGGCTGGCAGGTCGGTGAGCAGGCTCATGATGGAGAAGCCCATCAGTGTGAGCTTCAGCTTCTTGCTGATCATCCCGCCCACGAAGATGCCCAGCGCCACCACGGGGATGTTCACGGCACCTGCACGGGAAAACACGGAGTGGTGGTTGTGGTGTGGAGAGCGGTGGTGCAGCGGTTAGCGTACTGCGCTTCGAACCGGGCGACCGGAGTTCGATTCCCGTTCACCGACATGTACTCAGTGAGTAACTGCTACGGGTGTGGTGTTGGTTCAGCGGTGGCAACGGTTAAGTGGTGGAGCTGGGGGTGAGGATGAATGATGACTGATGATGATGATGATGCTCGTGGTGGTGGCGTTGCTAGTGAGAGTAACGACGACGATGATGACGATAACGAGGGTCGCACCGATCATGAAGTTGGCCTTGGAGGCGGTCTCTCCGAACTGCTGCTCGATGTACTTGGCCTTGAAGGTGTAGAATCCCACCATCGCGTTCACGTTCATCACGGCCGTGACCATCATGCACACGTACACGCGATTCCCCAGCAGCGTGCGCATTGCCGGACCCAGCTCTGGGCACGCGCGCAAGTGCACAAAAGGCAAAGGTCCCCCGGATAGCCTTCACAGAGTGTTGGGGCAAGTGTTGTTAGCGAGTATGCGTGCACACACACGCGCACTGTGTTCACGCTCGAGCTGGGGTCACGAGTCGATTAATCGAACAGTTAATCGTTCATCAATGACTTGAATAATTGGATATCGCAGCTGTAGCACACACGTTGTAACCATCATCAATGCCCCCTTCGCTATTGACCTCTGGATTGCAAGTTCAGTGCGTGAACCATTACACCACCACTTCTGTTCACGGCTCACGCAACTCGAGCAAGCTCTGTTACTCATTCCTTTACTTAAGCCAAGATGACCGGGTCACGTTATTGTTGTTGTCGGTTCGACTGGGTCCACACCTCAACGATGATCGCTTGCGACTGATTTGTCCACATCCACAGCGCATAGCTGCGCAGGATGGAAATTAGACAGCGCGTAATTCAGGGTCCTAATGACCATAGTCGCACACATGTGAGCAAGCACGTCACGGAACACATGGCTCAAATCATTGAGCAGACTCCCTGATGGCTGTGCACGTTGATACCGGTTTGCGCAAACCGGTTGCAGAAACCCATTGAGTTGCAGCGCAACCGATTTACACAACTGATGGCTCCGACGTGGAACAACCCACCTTTCGCCATCGCTTTCACGTCGACGGATTCGGGGGCTTGCGTGTCACCCTTAGGTGGCCCCCACAGGGGTTCGGCATCTGCTAGTTCCTTGGAGGATCCCGTAGCGGGGGGCTCTGGCTCCCCCTCGCGCGCCATGGAGCGAGGGAAGAACCAGAATGGGATGGCAGTGGCCAGCACCACGGTGCCGGAGATGAGGAAGCCGAGCCACCAGGCGCCCACCCAGCGGGCATCACGGGGCGAGATTGCCACGTCCGCTGTGGGGAGGAGGGGGGAGCAGGGGGAAGGGGGGTGATGAGTGGGGTGCAGAGGATGAGTTTAGTTCACTAGGCTGAGAATCAGGTGGCCTGTGTCTCAGACAGGTGAGAGCCCGTCGCGATGCGTTATCCATTTATTTACCCCGAGTCAAGAGCCCATTTGGATGGACATTGGTCTGTGTCTTGCTTAATCATGTGGAGGGGTCCATCAAGGTTAGTAATCCCTTGTGATTGACGTCGAGTTGATAGCCCATTGAGCTTCTAATTGCTGTCTTTTGACAAACTGGGTGAGTGTCCAACAGGATTCAACCACCGCGTGGGGATCGAGGTATTTTATTGAGTCAGGTGAGCGCCCTCCAGGACCGTAGTTCCGTTTGTGAACGAGAGCCTTCAAATTTGACAACAACAACAAAAACCACGCTCGTGTGCCCTCCTCGGGAACAAGTACACAATGATCAGTGTTTCGGCGTGGCCACTGGATCGAGAACCACTTTATTGGGGAAGCCAACAACGAAACTTATCCTTGCCGTGGGAACGTCGATTATCTTGACACAACGGAGACGATGGGAGGTGGGGGCATTGCACGGTGCGTGTGGCTCATCTCCCCCATTTGCTGCCAACCCGAGCCATTATCCACGTTCCTATGAAGGGTCCAAGCGCGCGCGACCCCCATACCCATGTTGATGAAGCCGATGTCGACGAAGACGCGAGCGCAGAACGCGCCGAGCATGAAGCCGAACGCGGGGCCCAGCAGCCCCACGGTGTTGACACAGCCTGCGGGAGAGAGCAGGGCAGGAGGGCGATGATGATGAGGACATCTCACCGTCTCAATCTGCTCAAGCCTCCCGTTAATTACGCGGCTTCTGCGTGGCCACTCCCACTCTGAACTCCTCCCCTCTCCCCGCCCCCTGTGAGAACAGAAGCCGCTCCTCCTCCATGCAGCTCTCTTCTGCTCCTTCCGTCTCTCTTCTCCATCTCCTCTCAGCTTCACCACCACCACTGCCCTCTCATGATCACCAACACCTTGGCCCGTTCATTCCTTCTCCTCATCCCCTTCCTCCCTTCTCCTCTCTCTCTGCCGCCGCTCATCTTGAGTCGTGCTCTCCTCTCTGCCCGTCTCGAGGACTTCCATCACGCCCCCCCCCTTCCATTTCCCACTCATCTTGCCTCTTGTGTCTGTTGCCCTTTTGCGCAAACGACTCCACTCCCCTCTACGTCGACTCAGCCTCAAAATGAGTCCCACATGCGGTGCGTATCAAACATCAGCGCTGGGAAGACAAAGGCGGCCGGGCGTGACCGTTCGTGGGCCGTGCAGGCGGCCGTTCCCACGTGCTCCTCGCTAACACCACTTGCCACAACGGTCTGCTCGAGGCTATACGGGGGATCTTTGTCTTTGCGCGCGTGGCGTGGGAGTCACCGAGGTAGAATGCGGTGTTCTCCTCGCGCACGTGGTCGTCGAAGAAGGAGATGCCCAGGGGTCCGATGGGGGCCTCCCCGACTCCCCGGAGCGCATTGCCGATGAGCACGATAACCCAGAGGTAGGAGCTGCTCGCGCTATCGCACCCGGCTGGAAACATCATCACAATCATCATCACCATCATCATCACCATCATCATCACAATCATTATCACCATCATCACAATCATCATCATCACAATCATTATCACCATCATCACAATCATCACCACCATCATCACAATTATCATCACAATCATCACCACCATCATCAACACCATCCTCATTACAATCATTACCACCATCATCACAATCATCACCACCATCATCACCATCATAGTCACCATCATAATCACCATCATAATCACAATCATCAACACCATCATCACAATCATCAACATCATCACCACCATCATCACAATCATCACCACCATCATCACAATCGCCACATTCATCATCACCATCAACACGATCATCACCACCATCAAGACAATCATCACCACCATCACATTTGCATCGTCATCACACTCATCATCACAATCAATCAGCGTCGCCGTTAATACACAACTCAACACATTCGCCAATAGCCCTGTGTGTGGCGTTAAAATAAATAAGTATAATAAGCGACGTTTCGGACGATGGCCCTTCATCGTCAAGGTCTAGAGGTCACCTCTTGACCTTGGCGATGCCCTAGAGGCCGGGCTCGCCAAGGTACCTGGTGCAGGCCGCGTGGTTTCTTCCCCGGCCAAGGTGACCGAGAGGAGCTCTGGTGGCAAGAGCTTTCCCTCGCCTCCACCCTCGTGCTCGAGCGCACAGACGGCGCGCACGTGGCTCGAGTTGCCGCTCACGATGCTCTGATAGGAGTACCTGGTGCACAAACACGCACACACACGCACACATGCACGCAACACACACACGCACGCACGCGCACAAAACAACATCAACCGTCATTCGCCACTAAGTGGCGGTGACGTCACCACGACGCTTGTGCCAGGCCATGTGCACCTTGAGGCCACGTGAAGTGTCGAATGCCCGCTGGCAGGAGGTCACGGGGCAGACCCAGGTGCCACGGGTCGATTGACTGAGATGACTGAGATGGCTGGCTGATGCACCACCTGTGCCCTCTACTGTGCCAACCTGGGGTGCTTTAGCCACCCGGCGCCCCGCTCGTTGTTGTGAGCGTCGCTCCTCCGCCCTCCGTTGTTGTTGGAGGGCGACTGCCTCCAACTGCCCAGTAGCGTCCTTCACGAGCCTCCTCCACAGAGGCCGATCTTGACACCGCTGGTACCAGTCATCGGCAAGTCCACTCAGCTCCACATCCTCCTGTACCACGTCACTCCATCTCTTCTCTAGCCCGTGCCGCGCCCGTTTAGCCCCCTCGATCCGGCCGAACAAAAGCTGTTTTGGCATGCGGTGGCTGGGCATGCGGGCTACATGACCAAGCCAACGCAGCCTTGCCTGCCGGAGGAGCTCATCGATGGGACCTTGCCCAGATCTTTCAAGGATTTGTGAGCTCCTCACACAATCCAGCCTGGTTAAACCCAGGATGGATCGTAGGCAGGCCAGCCTAAATGTTTCTAACCGGCGAAGATGTTCCATTAGGGGGGTCCACGTTTCGCAAGCGTAGAGAAGGGAGGGAATGACCGTGGCCGAGAAGACCCGAAGCTTAGTGCGGAGCGACAGACCAGGTAGCTTCCACACAGCGTTACGCAACCGATGAAAAGATATTGCCGCTCGACTGATTCGGAGTTAGACCTCTGCTGTTAAACTGGAGCCGGTCATAAGCACACTGCCCAGGTATGGGAAACTCTCCACTCTCTCCACAACTGCCCCATCACCGATTGGGAGTTGTGGGGGTGGAGTGTCCGATGGCACAAAATACCCAGGCAGGTACTTAGTTTTGGTGGGGCTGATGGTAAGGCCCCATCTCTTAGTGGCACGCTCCAGTCTCAGCAGCAGCGTCTCCAACTCCTCCTCTGAATGAGCAGCTATTACCAAATCATCGGCATACATAACGTGGTTGAGCAATAGGGAGCCATCCCTTGACCGCACCCGGGCATCGATCAGCCTCCCATTATATCTGTACCATATGGAGATTCCCCCGGTACAGCTTTTGAAGGCTTCACGAACTGCGTGGTCAAAATAGATGTTAAATAATGTGGGAGCCAGAGGACATCCCTGTCGCACCCCAAGGTGTACAGGGAATGGCTCTGACTCCCGGCCACGTAGTTTTACCCGGGCCCGCTCACTATCATGAAGGTCCTTAATGATCGTGAGCAGAGGGTCAGGTACTCCAAAAGCACGAAGAACAACCAAGAGCCCATGCCTACTGATGGTATCATAGGCCTTGACCAGGTCAATAAAGCAGAGATGTAGGTCTTGCTGGAATTCCCTACACCTCTGCTGTAGCAGACGGACAGAAAATAGGGCATCTGTGCAGGACCGCCCTTTCCTGAAACCGCATTGGGGCTCCGTAAGCCTCTCCTCAGCATGCCTGGCAAGGCGATGTTGAATAATCCTTGCCAGGACCTTTCTCGGCACACTGAGGAGTGAGATGCCCCTGTAGTTGTTACAGTCTGTGCGGTCCCCCTTCATAAAGAGGGGGACCACCAGGGCATCCTTCCAACCTGCGGAACCCGTCCAGTGGTCCAGACTGTTGTTATGATGTCATATAGGGCAGTCTGTGCACAAACGCCAACCTCCCTCAGAATTTCGCTTGGGAGATCTTCTCTGCCCGCTGCCTTTCCTGGTCTCAGACTCCGGATCGCCTTCAGTACTTCCTCAACAGTTGGCACCTCAGCCAGCCACTCACAGGGGGTGACTTCTTCCAATATTTGAGGCACCGCAGCCTCAGCAGGGTCATCCTCACTTTGCGCCACGATGTTTTCCTGGCTGAGGGATTTTCCCTCCCCCAGGACCTCACAGAAATTCTCAGCAAATTTGCAAACCTGTTCCTTGGGGTCGGAGATTGGATCACCGTTTTTCCCCTAATAAGGCAATAGGTGTGGCGCTGCAGGTTACGTTTTTGATTAAGTTAAATAGAGATTTGTGATCGCGGGCCACTGAGACAGACTCTATCTCCTCAGTAATCCGCGACCACCACCCATCCTTGCAGCGCTTCACGGCTCTCCAAACCTCCGAGCGAAGACTGCGGTAAGCCTCCTCATTCTCTGACGTGGGATTCTGTAGCCGATGACAGTGGGCCTGTCGCTTTTTCTCAACTATCCTGAACACCTCCTCTGTCAGCCAGGGTCTCTGGGGAGGTCTGGACCGCGTACCCAAAGCAGCTAATGCAGCTGCATGAATGACAGTCCTAAACCTCGCCAATTTACCCTCGACATCCGGAGGAGTGGAGGACGATGCCAACCCCAGCCGCAGGCGATGATGGAATTCTCGCTTGCAACTTTCATCAGATAACTGAGACCAGGCCACTTTAGGTTGGAATGGGGTCCTGGGTGTACACCCACCACCGGAGCGGAAGAATGGCAGGCGCATCTTACAGATGACAAGTCGATAGTCAGAGCATAGATCAGCTCCACGGTAAGTCCTGGTGTCAAGGAAATGGGCTCGCATCCGCTGGTCCGTCACTATGTAGTCCAGCAGCATGCATCCATGATGTTGTGTGGATGCGCCGATGCCGGAACATTGTGTTGGTAATTACAAGCCCATGGGCTGCACAAAAATCTAGCAGCCTCCTACCGTTGTTATTGAGCTTATCTGGCCCATGCCCTCCAATCACTTCAGACCAGGTGCCAGCATCATGACCCACTCGGGCATTGAAGTCACCCAACAAGATGACTCTGTCCCGAGGGGCCACTTTAGCCAGCACCTGTGACAGAAGGTCATAGAAGGCATCTGACTCATCGGCTTTGCCTGCATCCCTCCACGGATGTTCGTCTTCGGTAGGGGCATAAGTAACCACGACCACCACTCCTCGCCTCCGATTGATGGGAAGGCGAGCCCAAAGTAGCCTGGGGCTTACAGCTTCCCACACCTCACCGCCACGCTCCCACGCCCCCTTCATTCATTTGTTCATAAGTTCATAAGAAGAGCCACACCCTGTTGTTTGACAGTCTGCTGCCCCGAGTCGAGGACTGTCCACCCCTCATGATGGCAGGAGCCAGAACCGGTCTACCGGACCTCCTGAATGCCACAGAGATCCAGGCGGTACCGGTCCAGCTCCTGACATAGGAGTGGCAGCCTCTCCTCCGCAGTGAGCGTTCGAACATTCCACGTGGCCACACGTAGTGGCTTTTCTTTGTTTCTGGAGGAGCCCCGAGGGTAGAGATTCAATCTCCTGGCTCCGCCAATTGGAGTTTGGCCAGGAGACGTCATAGACGCCTGTCCCCCCGGGCCTCCGGCACAAGCTTATTAGTTAGATATTTTATACGTGGTTTAGTGGTAAATTTTTGAAGGCCACACACACACATACGCACACACACGTGACCCGAGTTCGATTGCCGCTCGCGGCCAACACCGTTGTTGACGATGATCTGAATCGGTCCTGGTCCTCCCCTACATTGACTCAGCCTCGAATGAGTACCTGCAGCGATGTGTGAACATCGCCGCTGGGGAGACAAAGGCGGCCATGCGTGGTGCTGGCCATCCACCCCCTCGTGTGCCTTCACAGGTGCTGCTACTCGCTAACAGCACTTGCCCCAACAGTCTGTTAAGGCTACACAGGAGAGGTAATATTTGTCCTTGTGTTGGAGCGGTGGCGCAGCAGTTAGCGTGCGCTGGACTAGGAACCCGACAACCTCACCCTATGCGCACCCACTTATCCACACATTACTTAGAACTGCTTGTTGTGTTTAGTTTGTCGTTCTTCCCCCGCACCTCCGATTATCACGGTTGGCTACGTTCGGTGCAAAACAAATCCATACAAATGGCCTCGAGTGGGACTCATAGCGCGGCGCGCTATCCGCTGCACCACCCCCCCCCCCCCACCCCCATGCCAACCTTCCCATGAAGAAATGCGGCATGGCCATGAGCAGGGTGCTGAGGCCCATGAGCGTGGCTCCCACCGCGATGATCCGGGGTCTGTGGAAGCGCGCGCCAAAGAAGCTCACGAAGGCCATGACCAGAAGATTCCCTGCACGCACAGAGAGAGAGAGAGAAACAGAAGTCGGCTTCCTTTACCTACCCAGGCAAACTCAACACGTTCGTCAATACCACTGTGTGGCCTTAAAGGGAACATATAATAGGCGACGTTTTGGGCCGTGCCCCTTTCCACGGATCCATGCGTTCCTCTTCGTGTCCATCTGTCATTCCAAGCATGACCAAAACATTAAATAAATCATCACTATCAATGGCAGGCCGTTGTCAATCCACGGCTGGACGACGGCTGCCACCCCCCTCACCCCCCTCTAATCTCAAGCAGCTCACCGAACTCAAATCCACCGTCAATCATCCCCGCCACGGAGCTGGGCAGGTCAAAGCGGCGCTCGATGGAGGTGATGGAGCTCTTCATGTAGCTCCCAGCGAACGCCTTGGAGAAGTAGAGGAGAGACAGGCAGAGCAGGAACACCTGGGCAGTCCGGGGCGGAGGGGGGTCGTGCGCGGGGGGGGACACGCGGAGAAGACGGGCCATTGCCCGAAACGTCGCCTATTACACATTTGTTTTATTTTAAAACATAAAAAACGCATTTTTGGGTTACATCGCGTAAATATAACCGACAACCACCCAATACAGCCAATTAGTATGGTTTGTCACCTAAACAAAAAGCCTTTATCATGAATAATATTGGTCACGTAAGCCTACGTGTTATTTTAAGTCCGCATGGTGCTGTTGACGGATGATGTTGGATTGGTTGTTGTTGGTTGTGCTTGTTGCACCACCACTGCCAACACAGCCGCAGCATCACCACCACCAGAGGCACAAACTGTGAATGTTTGTACTTTGAATTTATTTTGCACCGTACGTAACCAACCGTGCTAATTGTTATCTGCATTGTCATTCATCTTCTTCAATGATTGTTATTCCACGTTTTGTAGTATTGCCTTGCTTCCAAGTTGGCCAATATCTCACGGAGAGAGGATCCTTGCCCATGTGGCGGCTTACCAGCAGTGTTTCAAGGGAGCCTGACACAAGCCTGCGAGGTGACGAGACAATTATTGTCGAATTCGGGTCACAGTTCTGCTTGAGTTGAGCCAATGCTGAAGAATACAAAAAATGCGCCCACAGAAGCAATGCCGTGTCGCTGATGGGATGCGTAAAACAATACTCATCTGTGTTTAGATAGGAGCGACACATGGGAATCAAGCGTTGTTTAATTTTTAACGGACATGCCGCTTAGTGCCCGACCTGACAGGGCGTGCAGGAGCGAGAATGAATGGTAATAATGGTAAATGATTAAAGGCATTAAAATGTAATGGAGTGAAATTCTGGCGAAAAGATCTCCCGACTCGAGTGAGAGTCACCGGGCGAGTCAAGAGGGCAGCAGCTGCAGCAGTCGCTGGAAGCGAAAGCCCCTAGAAGAGCAGTTGGGAAAGGCCACGGAGAGGAACTCCCGGGCAGCCTCAAAGATATTCTGGCAAGCCATCCGTTACTTGGCCAAGGCTGCTCTCAGTAAAGCTGGCGGCTTAACATTTACCTCGACTAAAGGAGATAGTCGAGAGGTGGAAGGAACACTTTGAGGAGCTCCTCAGCCCGGTGGACATGCCCTCGTCTCGGAAGTCAGCCCTGAAACAGCTGGGGGCGGGGTCGGATCCACCACGGGGGCCGTCGGAGCGGCAAAGCTGCCGGGGTGGACGAGATTCGCCCAGAGTCATTGAAAGCGCAGGACAGTGTAGGGGTGTCGTGGTTAACGCGCCTCTTCGATGTTGCATGGAAGACAGGTACAGAGCACCTCTGGATTGGCAAACTGGGGTCGTGGTCCCCATTATTTAAGAAAGAGGAACAGAGGGTGTGCTCCAACTACAGACAGTCTCGTCCTTTCACCTGATGAAGGCCGCTTGTGTTGTGGCCGAAACATCGTAATTTTTGTTATTTTATTTTCACCTACGTGACTTTACCCAATAGAACCAAAGAGTACAATACATGCCACCTGATTTATTTACTTTGTCGCGATTACTTATCGAAGGATCAAGATGAAGCAATGGAACGGAACGGGTCCGAGAGGACTTACACCGCGCGGAGATGGAGCGATGGAATCATCAGTTCCGTGGGGAGGAGGCTTACATCCAGCAGTGGATTGACCATGGCTGCTGCCGCTTCCGCTGCTGATGATGATGATGGTGGTAATGCAATGGTCACCTCCCGATAGCTGCAAGTGGTGAGCGGATGGTCGGCACTGGTAACTCGACCGTTCGAGTTGGAATCCCGACCACGGATACCATCAGTGGCGAGTATTATCGGAACGGGTTGTGAGCCTCATCCCCTACGTCGATTCAGCCTTAAATGAGTGGCCGGCGGGGCGTGTATATATGCTTCAAACTTCACTACTGGGGAGACAAAGGCGGCCGGCCGTGGAATTGGCCACACCACCCCCACGTGTCCCGTGCCGACCTTCATGGGTGCTCGCCAACAGCACTCTGCCCACCAGCCTGTGAAAGGCTACACGGGTGATCTTTGTCTGTGTTCGTCAGTGCATCAGCTGTGGAGTGTTCCGCTGAGTTCGTCCCCGTGTCACCGCGACCAGACGAGACACCAATGACACGGAGACACATGCACACCTATAGCCTGTCTGTGTGGCAATGATTCATGATGGCGGGGAATGGGGTGGGGGTGGGGGAAGGGGTGGCGAGGAGGCGGAGGTCGCGTGGCGCGGGAGTTCAATCTCCCGAACCCGATGATCCAAGTTCGATTCCGAAGCAAGGATTGGTAACGCATTAAAAAAAATGGAAAATTCGCCTCCTTTCCCGTGTCTGTCCCTCCAAATAACTACACGTATGCAAAGTAGTGTTTGTTCTACTGGACATCTGTGAAAAAAGAGCACTACAGGTCATCGGACCTGCACCACGACTCCGCCCCTTAGAAAACCCCAACAACGATCTTCAATCAGACTGCCCGCAAGGGTAATGACTCTACAACAGGCGACGTTTCGGGCAATGACCCTTGCTTACATCATAAAGCGCACCCTGTCTCGGACGACCCCCCGCACGACTCAATATCGTATTGTAACGGTATTGTTGTGAACAACATTATTGGACATTCTCTCGCCACTGCCTCACCTCACTGCTCCAAGCTGCGAGGTCAATGTGTCATCGTCAGAGACTTCATCCGTGAACCATTCGTGACACCGCCTCCCCCAACGAGATGATTTCCCCGTTTGCCACTGCCCAATTTGCGCCGATGGCCTTAGTTAATTTCTTTAGAACTGCCCGTGGCTGTTGTTGTTGTTGTGTCTACTTTGCTGTCCTCCCCCCGCACCTCAGCTTAGCACGGTTGGCTACGTGCAGTGCGAAATAAGTTCAACATGGGTACCGTTACACTTAAATCTTAACACCTGTTTTATTGCCGGAAAGGGGAAAACCCTATTATCGTTACACTTTTTTTCATAATATAGGTATTTTTTGGGTTGGATCGTGTAAATATATAAATGTGTCGTTGAAACCGCCACCACCCGACACAGCCAACTAGTAATGGTTGTCACGTAAACAGAACGTGGCCAATTCGTCACTAGTACAGCACACCGGTGTGTTGGAGAGCAAATCCAGAACATTTACAATCTGAGTACAAACACACTGGTGTTGCTGTACTAGTAATGAATTGGCATGTTGTGTTTACGTGACAGACCTCACTAATTGGCTGTGTCGGGTGGTGACGGGTTTAACGACACATTTATATATCGACACAATCTGACCCCAAAAAACCCTCTATTATGGATAATATTGGTCACGAAAGCCTCCGATTTTTTTTAGTAGCGAGCTGTTGTGGCGTTGTCGTGGCTATTGCCACTCTATACTTGCAATGCAACAGAGGTCAAGGGTTCGGTTCGGTCTCCCGCCACGGCTGCTTCGGCGAATGGTGCAATAATCTAAAATCTCTCCTCTCCCCCACCACCACGACCGCGACCGCGAGGCGATGTTGGCCAATCAATGATTGTTTACATGCGGGAGGAAAGCGGAGGATCCGGAGAAATCCCCCGCGTGTGAGGGGGCAACGCGCTATCCCATACAGACCTCATGGCGAGACAGCGCACGGGAAAGGAGTTTCACAAATTTCGTGGAGTGATGTGATTTACCAACCCTCGCCGCCACAGTGCCACGTGCATAGCCACCACTGCCCGACAAATGGTAGACCATAAATACATATAAAGTACATTCCATCGATGTATAAATAAAAAAGAGACACATATAGAACTCATATCCACGCACACATCATAAACACAGACACACACGGACTTATACAAATACACACTGACACACACAAATATAAATATCTCCCATGTAGCCTGCACAGACTGTTGCGGCAAGTGCTGTTAGCGAGCACCTATGAAAGCCGGCACGGCACACAAGGAGGTGGGTGGCCAACACCACGCCCGGCCGCCTCCAGAGGCGATGTTTGCACACCACACCAGGTACTCATTTGGGGCCGAGTCGACCGAGGGGAGGCCCAGGACCGGTTCAGATAATCGTCACTGGCGTTGGCCGTGAGCGGGAATCGAACTCGGGTCACCAGGTTCGTAGTGCAGCGTAGCGCTAACCGCTGCACCACTGCTCCCCACATACTAGAATTGACAGACACACGTAAATATATAGACCCAAGTTTATTATCACCTTTGCACAGGTAACACAGTCTGATAAGGGCTGTAAATATAAATCAGGGGTGAGATCGCTTACGCAGTCGATTACAATGAGACTGTGTCCACGGCTTATGCAACATGAGTTTTATAAACGAGCGCTCAGGTGCCATAGGTCGACCAACAAAACAAACATTAACAGGCTACTATTAACCATCAAAATAAAGACAATATGAACCTGGTGTGCTCCGTGTGATGCAATAAAGTACGGACTGATTACGGTCGACATCTTCATCATGAGCAGCAGCAGCAGCCGCCACAATGGTCAATCCACTACTTGATGGAGGCCTCCCCAAGCACCATGATCCACCCCAAAATACGTGACAAACATGAGGTACCTCTGACCCAAATCGTACCACAATCACAACACATGATCACAACACGCAACCTGCAACACGAAATTCTCAAGCGTCCCCCACCCCCATGGAGTACGACGAGTACAGCCTCCAACTCTTATCATTCACTCTGTCTCTCTTCTGGCCTCTCTGTGTGCTATGCAGAAGGGCCCGTTGCCCGAAACGTCGCCTCTTATATGCGTTTCACTTCAAGGCCACACACGCGCGGTGTTGTTATTGACACGGAGTTGTTGTTGTTGTTTGTGCACCATCACTGCCAACGCAAGAGCATCCGCATCAGCAGGTAATTTCTTTAATATTGATGAAAACTGTGGCCCAGAATCTACAGGTTTCGAGTTCAACTGCTGAGTAGGCAGTTGACTAAGCCCATAATCCTTCTTGCTGGTCGATATGATAAGTAACACTTAGCGTCAACAACGGAAACATAAATTTCTCTTTGAATAGACTCGCTCCCGCCACAGTAACGTGGAATGTCCATCACTGGTTTTGCAGGGCTGTAAACAAGAGATAAGCAACACTGCCTCATTGCTCATTGGAGCAGCAAAGCATCGCTTTGACCTGTGACGATGACCACATCTCGGAAGCTTAGCAGGAGTTGAGTGCTTTGGAGGACGCCGACCATGCATAACAGGTGTTATAGGCTTCGGGGCTCCGCTGTGGGCATCCGAGGGCGTTGCGGCGAAATCCACGTCAGCCGGGAATCGAACTGGGGTTCACCAGGTTCGTAGCAACGTAACGGCTCACCGCTGTTTTAAAACGATGTATATATATATACAGAGTACACACACAGATCGCCGGTATCGCCTTTCACTGAGTGTGGACGCAAGTGTTGTTAGCGAGCACCTATTAACGCGGGCTGTGCACAAGATGTGGAGCAGTTCCCCAGTGCTTGGCCCGCCCGACTGTATTTCCCCAGTGCTCATTTAAGGCTGAGTCGACCTAGGGATCGGGCAAAGAGTGGTTCAGATATCACTCAGCTATTGCTGCGAAAGGCCCAAGGCAGAAGATCCCTGGGATTTGATCCCCCACGACGCTGCTCATGGTCCACTCTAAGCCGCATCCACCGCACAAACCACGGTAGCAGATGCGGGTACCTGACGATGCACAAATGGAACATTAAAAACTCTCCATTAGTGGTCATCCAGAACAGAGACGGAGCGACATATAACGACGCCCGATCCGCAAACCCGAAGGAGACGTCGCAGCGGATCACTCCGCCACTGCTCCTGACGCGGTCGTGTGGCTCGACCGCCTCAATGTGGCGTTGTGGTCGATGCCCTGCATCGACACCAGCCACACGGAGGAAGAGAAGACTGCTGGCTAGCCGTGGCCGGGATTAGAACTGAAGGGGGCTGCAGTGTGGGGGAAATGGGGGGCGGGGGGGGTCTGGGCTACGGTGGGGGTCACATCGTGGGCCTCACCCGCACGGAGGCGAAGCGCCGTGTTCCTCCTGCGCCAGGCGAGCCCACGGTCGTCTTCTCGTGCGCCTCCTTCATCTCGCTGCTCACACAAAGACAAAGATACCCCCAGGGAGGCTTTAACAGACTGTTGGGGCAAATGCTGTTAGCGAGCACCTGACTGGACTGATACATCAATGTCATCGTCATCATCACGGTGTTGATCATTGTTCCTGAGACGATCGTCGTTGCTTTTGGGAATGCTCATAGACATCGTCCTCGTCATCATCATCATCGTTGTCGTCATCATCTTGAAGAGATTTAAAATCAAGACATGCCTGACGCGTCATCAGCAGCAGGGTCATTGTCATCATTGTTTCTGGCACCGCAATCATCATCATCATCAAGTTGAAAAATCATTATGCACATGATCACCATCTGGGAAATGTAAAAAAATCAACCCATTCTGATATACCATCGATGTCGTCATCTTCAAAATCATTGTCATCATCGTCCTATTTGTATTATTTTATTTTCCACTGACACAATATTCAGCATCATCATCGACATCGTAGTGGGGAAATAAAACTGGCATCATCATCAACAGCCATCATCATCCACATCCATCACCATCATCACCATCATCATCATCCATATGTTGTTCACCAGCTAGATGCCCAATATGGAGGTCTGCTGCTGCTACTGCTGCTGCTTCCCACGACGAGACGGCCTCAGCAGACAGAGTTGGTGTCGTATCGCTGTTCCTCCTCCTCCGTTGAAGAAGCGCAGACCACAGTAGGTTCACTGTGCGATCTATAGGTTGATTTTCATGCCCTCAGTCGCACTGCCACGGCTCGACTTTAATGCATCTCCGTGGGTGTTTGTCTGTATCGTTCGTTATGTATCGATGCGTCTCGTTGCGTAGCTATGTATCTCTCTCTGTTCGTGCAGGTGATGCGGGCGGTATTCAAGCGAGGAAGTATGAGAGAATAGAAGATTGAATAATTGCTATCTGGTTAATAATTGCGACGTGTAAAGAAACTACAACACCATAAATCTCGCACCAGCATCAACCTGGTTGCATGTGAGTGAGTGTACAGGTGAGTGAGTGTACAGGACAGTATACAGGTGAGTGAGTGTACAGGTGAGTGAGTGTACAGGTGAGTGAGTGTACAGGTGAGTGAATGTACAGGTGAGTGTACAGGTGAGTGAGTGTACAGGTGAGTGAGTGTACAGGTAACAACAACAAACACAGCTGAGTGGTGCCGGCGGTATTAAGATCGGTCTCGAAGCCAAGTTCTTTAGCAGAGTACTTGTTATACATTTGTTATGATTCTACAATTTGTACCCACTTTTTTAGGTTAAGGTGTAAATAAATGCGTGGGTTTGTGTAAATGTGTATGTTATTTAACTTATCATTAATTTAAAACACAAAACGGATTCTTTGTATGTTTAAAAATATTTTCGTTTTTAACGGATTTTAAAAACTGATTTTTACGTTTTTTTAAGATTCTCAGTTTTTTATGTTTTTTTTTTGTATACAGCCTTTTTTGGTATTTATATATCATGCGTATTTATGTGTGTGTGTTCATCTGTTTTTGTGTGTTTGTGTGCATGTTCATTGTGTGTTTGTGTGCATGTTCATTGTGTGTTTGTGTGCATGTTCATTGTGTGTTTGTGTGCATGTTCATTGTGTATTTGTGTGTGTGTTTGTGTTTGTGTGCATGTTCATTGTGTATTTGTGTGCATGGTCATTGTGTGTTTGCGTGCATGTTCATTGTGTGTTTGTGTGCATGTTCATTGTGTATTTGTGTGTGTGTTTGTGTTTGTGTGCATGTTCATTGTGTATTTGTGTGCATGGTCATTGTGTGTTTGCGTGCATGTTCATTGTGTATTTGTGTGCATGTTCATTGTGTGTATCATTTAATTAAGAGTACTGTGCACTAATGTTTTGTGGGATTTTGATGGGTAGAGTATAAATGTGTGGTATAGTAGAGAAGTGTTTGATGAATATTGAAGTCTGCGGGGCAGTTTGCTCTGTGTGTGGCGCAGCGTGTCGTAGTGTACTGTGTCTATTGTGCGGACCCCCTTGGCATCACCAGCAGCCCTTGGCGTGGTGTTCACGGGGCCACCCCGTGAACACCAAGACGAAGAGAACGGAGCAGAGTTCCACGACGTGCGTCTGCAGCACCACGCGCGTCGCCTCTGCCATCTTCGGGTGAGCCGACAACCCCCATCTGCTCGGCTGCCTCGGCCACTGCTCTGGGAGGTCGCTCTATGGAGGCTCCGTGCAGTGGCCATGACATTCAAGATGGGCTCCTCCTGTTCGAGAGAGCTCCTCCCCTGGCTGGTGTTCGTGCAGCTCCTGCGGGCTCGTCTGGAGCGGGTGGAGCAGACTCACGCTCGTACTCCCACCCACTAACTCTGCCCCATTGTGTTCACCCCATTGTCACTCGACCCATCCAACTCACTCAGTCGCCTCGTCCATCGAACACAACACCCTCCTTCCACCCCCAAACACTGTCTCAAACAATGGCACCTCTCTTATTCTGTTCATTCTTTTTCTCCAATCTACAAAATTCTACAATTCATGTTGTTCGCTTCAAGGCTTAAAATGTACTCAGAGCCATGCCTCACTACGTTTAGGACAGCACTCTATTATAAATACATTTTAAAACTATCAATATTAATTTTGTTGATTTGGTCAGGTGTTGAAACCAAGAATGGTTCCATTATTGCCACATTTTCTGCATCACTCACCTTTTACTCAGATTTCAAAAACAAACGAGGTCGTGGCATTGTCCAGGTCAACATGAGAGACTTCATCCCTAAATTTCAATAATTAACAATTTAATTCGCTAATCTTTTCCCGGGCATCTTCTGGTTGTCTGAAACATGGCTCACCTCGCATATACAGTAACTCATAGCCTCGGAGAAAATGAAAAATATCCTGAAGAGGAGGAGGAGGTGTGGCAGTACATGTGAAGAATGACCTACCTTGCATACAACTAACTACTGTATACGACACGGGTTCGTTTGAATGTATCACACTCATGATTTATTCTACAGGTAACCGAAATGTTACTTTGATGTGTTGCTATCGACCACAAAATAGTACATTTCAAATTAATCCCCGGATAAAATTACATTACCCATTCCAAAAGGTGAATTATTAATCAGAGGTAACCTCGATTAGAATTGGCTAAACATACCACATGATGCATTCGACTTTGCAAACGAGTACAATCTACATCAATTGATTGCTTCAACCACTAGACCCAATAGAAAGAACTCAGATCGTTCGTCCATACTTGATGTCCTACTAACAAATCTACCCGGTACATCTTCAAACGTGGTAATCATCTCAGTGATCGTGCCATTATATTTGGCATTCGTCGTACAAACATAAGTCAAATAAACTCAAAACATGATCATAAAACGGTCTTTAAAACATTTAGACCTTCAAGCATCTATACATGACGATCTCCATTCTAACTGGGATACGGCGAGCAAAATCCCAGTTTTTTTAAGTGCCTGGACACATTTTAAGAACAAATTTCTGAAAATAATTGATAAACATGCCCCCTTAAAATTGTTCAGAATAAAGGATGATCGTCCACGTTGGCTTTAATCGAACATTCCTGAATTAACGAAAGCTCTAGATATAGCCTGGAATAAAATATCCCTGATTGCATTAGCTATAGAACAATAAGAAATATATGCGTACTCGCTAAGGAAAAAATGCTACATTTTCTTAATATCACCAAACTTTGCTAAATTCACAAAAACCACAAGACTTATCTAGAAAACGTTCAACTCGGTTGAAAACAAAGGGAAGCTAAATACTCTTTTAAAAACCCCTAATTGGATGGCAAAGAATTGTAGACAAAACACGACCTTGTCACTGGATTTAATTATCATTGTGGGTCTGCAGGGCACATTTTTGACAGAACAAGTGAGAGTAAAATATATCCGAATGCACCACCGCTGATCACATCAATCACTCCTTACTCTTCACACACCAACCCTAACAACGTAAGTGAAAAGTCATCGTCCATAATTCTCGTGTAGTCCCATATCTGAGCGGCACGTATTACACGAGTTATCATCAATTACGACATCGTCATCCACGGAAGAAGTTGCCTGCATGCATTTGCAGTTGTGGTCGTGGCAAATCTCATTCGTAAACCTCTCACACGCATTTGCGAGCTCTCACCGAGGGTACATTTCCCCTCGTGGAAAGCATCTCTTATTCCTCCAGTACATATATACCTGGCTCAAAAGAAGACCCTGATGATTAGAGAGCAATCTATGTTATTACTAAAATATTCGAAAAAACATACTTAATTCACGAATAAACTGCTTCCCAAAGAGTCCACAATCTCCTTCCCAGTAAAATTAGAGCCACAAGATCGTGGCTCTAATTTCCAATGTATGACGGAGATGCGCGCATCCGCCTGCTGACGATGTTTCTGAGACAGTTGATGGTTGTAGCAGTGCCTTCGAGGAGGGGGGATGATAAATGGGTCTCGAATGAGGAGGGCTTCATTCTGAGCACTGCTGCGTGGGGAATGGTGCACACGCACAATAAACACCAACAACTCAACGCCTTCATTCGTGACACTGTGTGTGTGACCTTAAAATGGGCACTTATTTAATAAGCGACGATTCTGGCAATGGTCCTTTTGCAAAGCACATATATTTAACTGATTACAAGGACTATAATGATTATTATTATTACATGTTGTTTCTACTCTGCAGGAATGTGTAGCAACACAATTATTACATTCATACGAAATTATTACAGATTACCGTCTTAATTACAAACGGCAATGGCTAAGCTGAGGATTTGCATGCTGCAAATAATGCGACCTCCACACCCTCCCTCCTTCCCTGCGAGTTCCACCACGCGCGCCCTTCACTCGCCAAGGTAAGAGGAGCGGTGTGCGACCTTCATTATCACTGTCCACCTCGTGTAGATTGTGATGGTGGTGGTGGCTATGATGATGGTGTTGGTGATGACGACTGTTCCATCTACATGTGTCGAGGTGCATTTGTTGATGGCCGAGAAGCTTGATCCTCGAAACAGCCAGATCCACCCCA